ACTTGGGATTTCCCTAGATACTCCTCCCAGCGTATGACTGCCCTTGCACTTTAACTGGGGCCAACAAGAGTGATAGATATGAGCTATCAGCTTGTTTTGTTACTGTTATAACATATTGTTTAGACTAGGGTAGTACATTTGAGGATGTGGGTACTCCAGGAGACAAGTTTTATGATAAGGCTTTTATGTGTTGCACAGATAACAGGGATCTTCATTGTGTTGACTGACAGTATTGTAAACTAGAAATGTTTAGTTACGTTTGACAATGTTTATAATAGATTATCTTCATATGTTTAACCCATTATGGCACCTATATCAACTTTCATATGTTGTTGTCTTTCAAAATATTTCACCTCCCAAACCTGAATGCAACAAAGCCAGGAGGTAGATACGGGTGGAATGGTTGACTGAAATGGTTGACGTAGTTAGGAGCTTGTTTCAGCATGACTTGGATAGATGGACTCCAGTTTGTGAACTATTAAGTGATTTCAATACTTCAATACTTAAGTTCTCAATTTGTGTTTGGGTAAATATTTTGAAATTTGAATGAAGGGTAGTTTCCAATTATCATACAGAGAATGTGCCATGAGAAGTGATTTTAAAATCATTGATTTCTGATGTCTTGATGATTTCGGATTGCTTACATGCATGTATTTTTTTGTTATTGTTTATGATGGGTCACTTGTATGTTTTTTTAGGATTTCTGGCTTTTTAGTCTGAAATCTGCCGTTGGGTTGGTTTAAGTAGTATTTATTGTACCTGCCTGGCTAAGGTAAGGTACTAGTCCTACATACCTGCCTGTCTGCTTTAAACACGACAACACAAACTCTTCAGCCACCATTGGTCACAACACACTGGGTAAATTACATAGCCTATCCCTCATTTGAATTACATTCAGGTTTGCTGTAAAACTTTTATCATTTACATCATGATGTCCAGGGCATGCTAGACATAGTGACCCATTTAGGGAGGAAATATGCAAGGTGACATCTTAATACAAACAGGTACATTTATACAGCTCACAGGTAGTAATGTAGGCAAAAAATGTTAAGTCTTAGAGACCAAAATGATACTGCCTCCCCTTAGTTATACAATGGATTTGTTCAGTTACATTACTAGGGTAAGTTTATTATTGTAGTAAGGGGTGTTGATGAGTGAAATGACATCTGAACTGGGATATTGGTGTGAGGATGCGGCACTTCAATGATAAGACCTGTCTGTTCAGACTGTAAGTGACAGGTAGCTGTATATATAGGAGGTGGGGTGACCAGTGGTGTGACTTCACTCACTGACATTACACAGCATAGGACTGTTATTGTGGCATCTCTCACTGATGTTACAAAGCATGAGGTAAGACTGTTGTAGTGGCATTCTTCACTGATATTACACAGCATAGGACTATTATTGTGGCATCTCTCACTGATGTTACAAAGCAGGAGGTAGGACTGTTGTAGTGGCATTCTTCACTGATATTACACAGCATAGGACTGTTATTGTGGCATACCTCTCTGATGTTACAAAGCAGGAGGTAGGACTGTTGTAGTGGCATTCCACAGTGATGTTACACAGCATAGGACTGTTATTGTGGCATCTCTCACTGATATTACAAAGCATGAGGTAGGACTGTTATTGTGGCATCACTCACTGATGTTACATAGCATAAGGTAGGAGTGTTGTAGTGGCATTCCACAGTGATGTTACACAGCATAGGACTGTTATTTTGGCATCTCTCACTGATGTTACAAAGCTTGAGGTAGGACTGTTGTAGTGGTATTCCACAGTGATGTTACACAGCATGAGGTAGGACTGTTGTAGTGGCATTCCACAGTGATATTACACAGCATGAGGTAGGACTGTTGTAGTGGCATGCCACAGTGATATTACACAGCATAGGACTGTTATTGTGGCATACCTCTCTGATGTTACAAAGCAGGAGGTAGGACTGTTGTAGTGGCATTCCACAGTGATGTTACACAGCATAGGACTGTTATTGTGGCATCTCTCACTGATATTACACAGCATGAGGTAGGACTGTTGTAGTGGCATTCCACAGTGATATTACACAGCATTAGGTAGGACTGTTGTAGTGGCATTCCACAGTGATGTTACACAGCATGAGGTAGGACTGTTGTAGTGGCATTCCACAGTGATATTACACAGCATGAGGTAGGACTGTTGTAGTGGCATTCCACAGTGATATTACACAGCATAGGACTGTTATTGTGGCATACCTCTCTGATGTTACAAAGCAGGAGGTAGGACTGTTGTAGTGGCATTCCACAGTGATGTTACACAGCATAGGACTGTTATTTTGGCATCTCTCACTGATATTACACAGCATGAGGTAGGACTGTTGTAGTGGCATTCCACAGTGATATTACACAGCATGAGGTAGGACTGTTGTAGTGGCATGCCACAGTGATATTACACAGCATAGGGCTGTTATTGTGGCATACCTCTCTGATGTTACAAAGCAGGAGGTAGGACTGTTGTAGTGGCATTCCACAGTGATGTTACACAGCATAGGACTGTTGTTTTGGCATCTCTCACTGATATTACACAGCATGAGGTAGGACTGTTGTAGTGGCATTCCACAGTGATATTACACAGCATGAGGTAGGACTGTTGTAGTGGCATTCCACAGTGATATTATACAGCATGAGGTAGGACTGTTATTGTGGCATCTCTCACTGATGTTACAAAGCTTGAGGTAAGACTGTTGTGGCATTCCACAGTGATATTACACAACATGAGGTAGGACTGTTATTGTGGCATCTCTCACTGATGTTACAAAGCATGAGGTAGGACTGTTGTAGTGGCATTCCACAGTGATATTACACAGCATAGGACTGTTATTGTGGCATCTCTCACTGATGTTACAAAGCTTGAGGTAGGACTGTTGTAGTGGCATTCCACAGTGATATTACACAGCATGAGGTAGGACTGTTATTGTGGCATCTCTCACTGATGTTACAAAGCATGAGGTAGGACTGTTGTAGTGGCATTCCACAGTGATATTACACAGCATAGGACTGTTATTGTGGCATCTCTCACTGATATTACATAGCATGAGGTATGACTTTTTGTGGCATCCTTCAGGTATATTACACAGTATGAGGTGAATCTTTACTGTTGAAGTGGCATTCCACAGCGATATTTCACAGCATGAGGTGGATCTTTACTGTTGAAAAGCTCAGTGATAAAAGAGAGGTTCTGTTTGCAGTTTTCCTTACTTTTTTTATTCTTTTGTCAAATTTTTTCATCCAATATTGAATGGTAGTGATTGTTCAGAGTGTTTGCTCAGTGCATTTGCTGGTATATGGCTGTTAAGTAAACACTAGAATTGATCTGTTTGATCTGATTGATCTTATATACCTGGCATGTAAGACATCATAATGGATGTTTCTGTGTGAAATCCTCCCCTAGATAAACTGTTATTTGTTGAGTTATGGATATATTGTATGTGACTTCGTTGTTCCATTTTGTTTGGTTATTCCTGTCTTCAAATTGAATTGATATCCTTATCTATCATAGGCAGTAATAGAGATCAGCTTAGATAAAAAGAAAACAACTTTCACTATTGAAAATTTTGAAGGTTAGATTTTTGCTACATTTTGTGAACAAAATCAAATTCAGTTTCATAACTTTGGAGTAAAACCATGAATGGTAAAGGCAGTTTCTATAAAGTAAAAAATGTACCCAATTTGGCCCAATCAGTTTTATGTTAAATATAGCAGGTACCTTATGTGGAATAAACTGGTTACATGAGGTGTAAATGTTGTATCCAAGGTAACCTTTGACCTTGAAGATGATGATTCATGTTGATTTGTTACATACCATCACAATAGGACAAGAAGGCAAGTGAAATGTTACACCATGTTATCTGTAAATGTACCTTAACTATCAGTTCTACATACAAAACCTTGACTAGATCAAGACATGTAATACTGTTATCAACATATTTAGGTGCATTTCAGAGAAAAGACTTGAAAATAATACTGATAGGTAAGTGATGAGTCAAAATGAGTGTGCATTCTCCTGGTATCAGACCTGGACATTGGATGTGAAAACCGAGGTCTAACTTTGTCCCTGTGACACCTTGTGGAGTAGGATATATTGGTCAGGTTGCCCTGTCTAATGTGACACCTTGTGGAGTAGGATATATTGGTCAAATTGTCCTGTCTAATGTGACACCTTGTGGAGTAGGATATATTGGTCAGATTGTCCTGTCTAATGTGACACCCTGTGGAGTATAGTATGTGGTCAGGTTGTCCTGTCTAATGTGACACCCTGTGGAGTAGGATATATTGGTCAGATTGTCCTGTCTAATAAGACACCCTGTGGAGTATAGTATGTGGTCAGGTTGCCCTGTCTAATGTGACACCCTATGGAGTATAGTATGTGGTCAGGTTTTCCTGTCTAATGTGACACCCTGTAGAGTATAGTATGTGGTCAGGTTGTCCTGTCTAATGTGACATCCAGTGGAATATGGTATATTGGTCAGGTTGTCCTGTCTAATGTGACACCCTGTGGAGAATGGTATATTGGTCAGGTTTTCCTGTCTAATGTGACACCCTGGGAATGTGATATATTGGTCAGGTTGCCCTGTCTAGTGTGACACCCTGTGGAGTATGGTATATGGTCAGGTTGCCCTGTCTAATGTGACACCCTGTGGAGTATGGTATATGGTCAGGTTGCCCTGTCTAATGTGACATCCAGTGGAATATGGTATATTGGTCAGGTTGTCCTGTCTAATGTGACACCCTGTGGAGAATGGTATATTGGTCAGGTTGTCCTGTCTAATGTGACACCCTGGGAATGTGATATATTGGTCAGGTTGCCCTGTCTAGTGTGACACCCTGTGGAGTATGGTATATGGTCAGGTTGCCCTGTCTAATGTGACACTACCATACCATATGAATGGAATTTTTGTGTAGTATGAATTGATTTTACCTGTGTATCCTATAGATTCATTTCAGAATGTTTATTCTGTGTTGTAGATGGCTAAGTCAACTGAGTTCCAGGCAGCCAGTAGAAGTAGGTCACAGCCGTCCATTTCAGGGAGTTCTCCACAGAGCCAAGGATCCAATAAATATGAGGTATAGTAATGAATAGGGATTACAAAACTTTTGATTTATCTTCAGAATTTACTGCTTTTTGTTTCGTGTTCACTATTTTCTGATTTAAATCTTTTCTCAGATGATGAAGATTCAGAGCAGATAAAAACCCATATTGGTATCCATGTTGACAGGTTTATTTTATGTTTCAAACTTCTCATGCACCAGCAGCTTTTGGTGTGTGGATTTCATATTTTTAGCATGATTTGTTATTTCAGTGTTAAGACATGTATTGTGTAGGATAGTTACGCAAAAAAGTTATATTTTGAGTATCGTGTTCAAAAACTGTTTTTGATGTATAGTATATAGGGTATCATTTGTTAGACTGTAAAGGAAAGTATAAACTAGTAAAAGGTATATATTTCAAACGAAAATTAATTCTCATACCTGTCAGTGTTATTTGACCTGTCAATGAGGTCAAGGTCTTTGTATTTCCTGGTGGTAACGATGAATTCATGTCTTATAGGATCTGATGTACATGAAGAAAGGCTGGCTTATCAAACAGGGTTCATCAGAGAAGGTAAGTTATATAGGGAGGTGTGAAATTTTCTAAAGTCCTTTGATTGTTTTGTCTTGTTGACTATTGTGGATATCATAAAAAAATTGTCGAGACTTTATTTAATAATTGCACCAAAAACTTTATTAATTATATTTGTTACATATCAAGATTATGTTGTTTAGACACTTAACAGAAGGTATCTGCTTTAACAACAGTTTTAAATGTTCAAACTTGTTTTTAATTTGTTTAGGACTGGAAAAAGCATTGGTTTGTGTTGACTGGGAACTCATTGCGGTATTACAAAGATGCTCAGGCAGAGGAAAGCAATACTCTAGATGGCCGTATTGATCTCTCCACATGTTTCGACATTTCTGAAGTTGACATTGGTCGTAACTTTGGGTTCAGAATCAAGGTATGTTGAGGAAACTTTTATGTCTATAGATAAAAAATAGAAACATCTTTTTAAAGAGTTTCGTTGATTCATGAGCTCCATTTCACTGAGTGATATTTTATATTTATATCAACACTCAAAAGCATGAATCTTCCATTGTAGCTGAATCTACCTTCCTGTCTCCAGAGATATAACTAATCACTTTTTTTGTCATTTCAGTCACGCAATGGGGAATATGTCCTCGCTGCTATGACATCTGGAATTCGAAACAATTGGTTAAAAGCAATACGACTTGTAATGGACCTGCAGACAGGAAATAAACAATCTACCTCCTCACTGTTGTCAAACTCTGCTGACTCTTCACCTCGCACAGTGGATGACCTTGACCTTAGTGCTTCAGCTGACAGTAATCGATTAAGTGGGTCAATGGATAGTCGGTCATCATCTGAAAGTCCCAAGGAAATTCATAAACGTGCTACAACTAAAAATATGAGACGACATTATTCAGACGTTAGTCCGGGAAATGTGAAATTTTCTGTAAAGGATATCTCTCCTGCTTTGACACGTATCTCTCAACCACCAACAATTGTTGGTGTAGTTAGTGGGGGAAACACTCCCCCTGAACCGCCAAAAAATTCTCTTGTGGATCAGGGCGATCAATTAGATGGAACAAATAAAAAATTACTTAGTAATGCAAAGTTTTCACCAGAGCCTGCATTGTCTGTGACACCTGGTGGCAATGAAACAATGAGTAGGTATGTTGAAGGGAGTGACAATGCATCACTTCCTTCCACTGTAACACCAGTCTCTGCGGAAGCAGAAGACTTTACCTCTCGTCGGGCAGTTAGTAGTGAGAGTAGGAAAGAGGAGGATGAGAAATCAAGAAGGGCAAAATCACCAAGTGCTCGTGTGAAAGAAAAGTCTCGGAGCAAAGGGGGCAAGATTCATACACCACCCCAGCAGATGTCGGATGATGAGTGTTACGGGTTGTCTGCATCAGCTGACGAGGAAGTAGTCACATCATCTGTGGAAGTGATGGACTTGCATCAACATCTTACTGGGGTAAATATAGATCAATAAATCTATACTTTGTTTTCCAGGTCCTACTAGTCGGCTGTATTCCTCCTGACTGTTTACCACATTTCTTAGTAAACTAAGTTACAAAATGAAAGGTCTGAAATAACAAGAAATGTCAGATGTTATATTATCCAATGTATTTCATTCCAAGGGAAGTAACTCCAGTTTAGAATCCTTATCGTAAAGCAATTGTCTGTAAAATTTAGAAGTGTAGTAAAAATATCCCATTCACCTAAAAATTAAAACATTTGGTGGTATTTTAGGGACTTTATTTTTTTATCACAAATTCTTCAGAACTCATGAACAACTGAAGTTATTCCTAGGTGATTTTGAATGAATGATATGTTGCACTTTAACCAGGCATTTTCACTCGTATGAAGATTCATTGGTTTGGTCCTTGGTCGAAGCCAGTACCCCAATGTTACTTAAACCAGATGTTTTTGATATATTGCTATTTAAGACTGCTTTCTTTTGTTATATTACTTCTTTGGTTTTAGTATTGATACGACTTAACACTTTGTGGGAAAATAAAAACAGGTGGATATTGCAATACACAGTATCTTAACACTTAACACTTTGTTATATCACATTTGTACAACTAGTTTTCACTTATGACTGTAATGTTAATTTCTTTTTCTCACAGGGATTTTATGAAGATAATAGTTTCACAGCATCAGATGACAATCGTGGTGGAGATTCTTCTGTTGGTGGGGATGGTATGCTAGTACAACTCTTAGAAACAGAGGTACAAAAACATCTTTTCAGTATTACACAATCAAAACTTCAGTTCTCCTGTATCTTGGATGTGAAAAAAGTGATTTTTTTCCCCTTTGGAATATCAAGCTTGTTGTTGAGTAGAAAATTCATGAAACCATATCCACAAACTTTATTATCAATTATGGTTGTGCAGGAATTGACAAGTTTTTTCTTGTCTTACAAATATGTTTTAATTGAAGTAATTGAATCTATTCATGTTTTAAGTAAGATGTCTGGGATACAACAAGCTTCATCACTTTCCATCTCACTGTTTCAGTTAGTTGCATGCATTCATGTTATTTTTGTTTCATCTTTAGTTTTAAGTTACTTTTATGTAGAAAATTCTGCTAACTTACTCCCACTTTAAAATGAACTTCAAAGACTCACATTTTAGTTTCTGATTCCAATGAGAAAGTCCTTTTAGAGGTAGAAACATACAGTGAATTCCAAGGGATAAATGGTATTTATATAATCTGAGAAAACTGATAACACTTCTATCTAACATGAACTGTATGCCTTACTAAAATTTTACTTATAGAATGTTCCCTATGTGTGTATCTTTTACATCATATACTTTTCATGACTGTTAAATTATTGGAGGAAAAAGAAAAAAAAAAAAAAAATTATTGGGGAAAAGTAGTAGATAGATATGGTGGATACTTCATGTTAAACAAACGTGTGATATGGATAACACATTGCTTTGAAGATAATGTCTTGTACAGTCTTATTTAATTATTTGTAGTCTATAAAAGGGTCGAAGGTTAGTGTAACATAAGTAATCATTTAGCCAACGAGTGTCAGGGCCTAGGTTATTTCCATCCGCAGGTTGACTCACTGAAAGAACAGCTAGAAAACACACACAAAGAAATGGTGAAAATGCATGACACCAATATTGACCTGAAAACGCGCCTACAGACCATCATCAGGGAAAAGGATGTGTCACAGGTTGGTCATATAGTGCTGTCCTCTGAGGTTTTTCAAAGGGCGATTGGAAAAAACTTATTGTAACTGCTGGTTATTTTTTGGGGTGCTGTTCAGCTACTATTAATGTCTAATGTTGGTAATAGGAATGGCAACTAGATTTTTGGTGGTGGATTTTGTTTTGGGAATTACTCAGTGGTGAAAGTCTGTGTAGAAATGGCGTTTCCTGGTTAAAGAACCTCGCTAACGTGAACACAGAAGTAAGAAACACAGGTCACATGACTTGATATTTTAAGTTACCTTGTTAGAAAGTTTACTCTTTTTGCTGTAATCTTTAACTTTCCTTTGATATTAATTCCAGATCTTTACTTCAATAATATAAATTATATAAGCATGTGTAACTGCTAAGCTGTGTAATGACATCTAAGATATGATCAAGTATAGCTGCTTTGTTCTGTAATGATATATAGGATACAGATATTAAAGCTATACTGCTGTGGTAATATATCAGCTAAGTAGAGGTCAATACAGACCAGTACAGCTGACCTATATAGATCTCTGATGTGCCTGTATACATTCACTACAGTTATGTGGTACAACAGTTTACTGACTTAACATGTGTATTTTGATTTCCTCCAACCCCCCCAACCCCCCAACCCCTCCTTCCCTATCCTTAGTGACTAGCTGTCCCTATTACACCACAGCTTCAAACCTGCCAATCTATACACCATAACTATACTCAGAAATTCATCTCTTTGCAGTCTATAAAAACTAATTCTATGAATTTTGAATTGAAAAGAGATGTTCATCTGTAGTATTTTGATATTTTTCACACCACTTAATGAATTGCTGTGGTTTCACATTGACTGATATCTGTAGTGGTTGGCTAGTGTTTTGTGTAACACCATGTTGTATACAGTAGAATAGCTAGTTATCGATCACCAAGTAATTAAAATTGTGGTCTAGACTGATAGGCTGATACCTGATTTAGGCTAATACCTACAGTTCACACTCTATGACTTACGTGACTTCGGAACCCAGTAGGATGGTTAAGTAGGCTAGGAACTCCTTCAACTTAATAAGACAGTTGTGTAACTAGCATGTTATGCTTGAATGCAATTAAGATGTGTTTTCATTTTTAAAAATTGGAATTTACGATATTGTTGTTATCGAAAAAAAATGGCTACAAGTATGTCATTCATTAAAATCATTTGTGTTTAAACAGTTTGTCACAACATGCTTTAGTTTTTGATCCATTGAAGTGAAGGTCCAGAGCTAGATAGTTATTGCTATGAAAACAAAATCCTAAAAACAGAAATGGTACAATGTTCACTTGTATGAATTTAATCCAAAACTATCATTTGTTAAAGAAGTTGAAGTGCATTCAACTGTATTTTCCGGGTTATAAGCAGCACCAGTACATAAGCCGCAGAGCCAAATTATAATGATTTTTTTCTATTTGATCCACATGTTAGCCGACTAAAGTGTAAGTTGCACCCTTTCTTACGATGTGGTAACCATTATGTTGACCACAGATCATTCATATAACAAAAAACAGAAGATAACTTATCAAAATTGTCAGTGAAACATTTAATGTAAGTTTACAAATGAATTATACACAGATAATCCTTGGAAGCCTCTAAAGATTCTTATCCTAAACAAGCCTGTCTTTTTAAACATTTTTTTTCTTATTCTGCTGATTTTTTCATCCACCTCCTACCCGACTGCCAAGCTGTGGCTTATAACCCGGATAATATGGTACATACATTTGAGAAAGCATTCTTAGACTGTCAAGGGAGTTACCAACCTTTCGAAATTTGTCTATCTGTAAAAAAGTATCAGTGCCATTGTTCTTCAAGCTTAAGAATTTTATAGGTTTGCCTAACAGGAATATTAAATGCTTCATCTGGTTATACATTGAGCTTATGATTAATTTATTCTAGAATGGCTAATGCATGCAAATTGGATTTTTTTTTCATAATGAGCTCCTTTATGCTTTTCATATTATAAAATATTAATCTGTCAAAAACTCAATATTTTCTCCGAACATATGGAGAGTTTGCATGGAGAATGAACTGGCACTAATTTGGGTGGTTTTTACAGTGTGTAGGTCCTGGTAAGTTAGTCTAGTGAGTCATTGTTTCCTGTCCATCTTTATATACTGAAATGAATCCTACTGTGTCATTTCAAAGCACAAATAAAAACAAAAATTATAGCATAATGTATTACAATTACAAGAAGTGTTAATGAAACATTAACATGTAACTAGAAAACTTTAGAGTGTTAAATTAATTCTACAGGAACCTCATTGACTTACTCTTTTAACTCCGACCTACATACTCAAATATGTTTCCTGGACATTGCTCACGGGATTCTATACCAGGCTGGGTTGTGCTTCATTAACTTAAGCTTTAGATATGCTTGACCTATTTTACAGCCGGGTCAACCACAGCATGGGCTTGAAAGCCCAATAATGCGTAGCTTGTGGAATCAGCAAAACCAGTCCTCAGATAGCCCGCAGGTCTGTATATAGCAGTGACCCAGTGTCACACACATATGAAATTACCTGTTATATACGTGTGTATGTATATATATATGTATATATATATATCTATATCAATATATAGCTTGTAGTAGTCTACATATTAAGTTTTTTAGAAGAAGCAGTAGTAATGAGGTCACTAAAGAGGTAAAGGGCTGGAGGTGATGAGTGGTTTTATTTAACAGATATCTAACAATTCTGTTGATAATCTCTTTATTAATTTTGGTGTGAAAATTTCCCATTTACTATTTAGTCCCCACCAACTAACACATTTATCCTTAAATCACCTGAATAAACTTCTTTTTTTTTTGTTTTTTTTTTAGCAAATGTGTTTTAATGTTATGTCATTGAAATGGTGACTATTAACAGTAGATGTCATTTGTGTAAATTTTGTGTTTTTATGTAGCCATTGTCATTCAGACTGGGCCTTCTCTGTATGTGAAGATGTTCATTATTAGAATTCACAATTATATCAATCAGTAGCAGTTCAGTGCTTTATATATAGAAAATGTCACACAGTAGGATTATTAACAGAAGTTAAGTGTATGTAGAGAGCTGCATCACAAGTATTTATATAACAAGTTTGACAGTTGCTGTGAGGGCCTTTTGGCTACATTCACAACACAGGTAACAGTTTTCACATAATTGGAATTGCCATTCTTGTATACATAAATCTAATTACTGTTGATTTTTTTACCCTAAAATAAGTTTAGGAGCAACATACAAACTTAATGGGCTTCTTGAACTGTATAATGTGGTAAGACTACTCCTAACATTAAATTGTTTTTGTCGTTTATTGCAGGTAACAACAATGCGACGTCAGGTGAAAGAAGCCCGAGATACCATACAGAAAAACAAAGTAGAAATTGAGACCCTTCGGTCCAAACTAGATATGTCAACATCTAAACTAACTGGAACAGAAAGGGCTCTATCAGAAGCTCTTAAAGAACTGAAGAATGAGAAAGATAAACTCATGAAGATGTCAAATGACTGGAATAAAAAGATACGCAATTTAGAGGGACAACTTAAAGACACAACTCATAAAATGGAACGTCAGCGTGATAGTTTGAATGTGAAGGAAAATGATTGTAAGAGATTAGAATCAGACCTCAAAACTAGTAATCAGAAGGTACGAGAACACGAACGTGAAATTCTCAAGTTAAAGGCTGTGGAACAAGATAACAGACAAATGAAAGAAAGGATGGAGGACACAGAAAGAAAAATGACAACTTTAAAGTTAGAACTCAAAGAGAAAGACATGCACTGTAAGAAAGTAGAGAGTGAGTATGAACACCATATCACTGAGTTGGAGCAGGAGTTTACTCAGGAGAGGGATGATATGGAGCAACACTTAGAAGACATGAAGAAAAAGTTTATGGAGGCCCAGGAACATTCCAATGCTGGTAACATGGCTGCCATTTTACAGGAAAAGGATATCATCATTGCCCAGTTGGAAGACAAAATGATAGAAAATGATAAGAAATTGATTGACATGGCAGATGAACTACAATCGGAACTAGATGAAAGTGTCATGTTGCAAAATAATCTTGAATCTGTTCAGAAAGACCATAGTATGCTGGAGAAGAAACTCAAGGATCAGGAAAAGATATATTCAAAAATGTTTTCAGAGAAACAAAAAAATGAGGAAGAAAATAGGACTCTTAGCCGCACCATGGAGGAATACAAAAAGGAAAGCCGTGAACTGGGATCTCTTCTAGATACTGAGAAAAATGCTGCTGTCAAATGGCAAAAGGAGAAAAAGGAGTTGCTTAGTAAAATCCAAAACCTGGAAGGAAATATTGATACACTTCAACAAAAGCTAGACAACAAAGGATCAAGAATGTCACATGACAGCAGCCACTCCGAAGAAGATCGGAGTAAAGTGTCTGATATTCTAGGTAACTTCGTTGTTGTGGAAGCAGAAATGTCAGAAATCACAAAAACAATGATAGGTCTCCAAAAGAACTGTGCAGATTTCCTATCAAAACAGACAGAAAAAACTACTTCTCCTCTGGTTGGTATGGGGGCTCTGATGACGGACATTGTACATCGCTGTTCTCACTTACAGGACATTTTACGTGAAGGTTCTTCTGACTTGAGTACACCAAGGTCAACAAGTCAAGGGGAACATTCTGAAGACTTTAATGAAATGAAAGTTAAGTATGACAATTTAATGGTAGAATCAAACAACTTACGCAGAGATTTGGAGGATATGTCTAGTCAATCCAAACACCGTAAAGAATTGGAGTCAAAACTGGCCGACCAGGATAAGGTGTTCAAGCAGAAATTACTGGAGATGACAACTCGTGTTGATGACCTTACTGGAATGGTAAAACATGCTGGTCCAAGTAAGGCATCCAGTCCTCAAAAACCAAGAAAGCCAGAGGAGGCTTCCATGGCCCTCTCTGCTGAGATAGAGGCAGAATTAGATTTACTAGAGGACCGCATAGCTTATGTTGATCAGGTGCTACGAACCCCTGATATAAGCATGTCAGGTGAGGAAGAGGAAGATGATGATGAGGATGAGGAGTCTGACAGTTTCATGAGTTCAGATGATGAAATGTCAGATGAAGAAGACGATGAAGAAGAAGAACCTGTTGGAAACAGTGGAGAATATGAAAGTAAGCGACTGATTGGAAAGTTACGAGCAATGAGAAATCAACTACAAATTACCAACTGTAAGATTCAGGATCTAACAGATGAAATGACAGAGAAAACATTCCTCAAACATGATTCCTCAGGAGAGGGTGAAGAAGGGTTGAGGCAGACTCTGGTCAAGTGTAGTGACACTGTAGATTCTCTGACAGGACGCCTGGTTGACAAGGTCAAGGCTGCTAAGATAGGCGGTGCTAGCTTAGAGGGCAGCTCAGCAGAAAACATGGTTGCGTTTCAAAATTGTGTAAAGGAGATGAGAGATAAATTGGTTGAGGTGAATAGTATGGTGGCAGAACATGAAGCACTGGATGCAAAGTCTTTAAAAATGGTGCATGTGAAACTGATGAACCTATTAGAGTATCTGAGTCATCTTCAAAGATTCAAACATCGGGATTTTGACATGTTGGGGAGGATCACACATCAGGATCTACAAGCTAAGGCTGTAATAACACGACGCGAAAGTGGAATCAGACGGAGTCGTCTCCACTTTGAGGAGAAGGTACATCTGTATGCGGATAGGTTGTCTGTGGAAGCTATTATACTGGGACAGATGGCATATTTGGTGCAGCGTTACCAAATGGGCGATGTATATCGGGATCTACTTCTGAAGGAGATTCAGGATGTAAATATGGTTATCCTAGACTTGGAACGTAAAATAGATAATGCCACAAGGACAAGCAGCGCATCAGAAAGTGGTGTTGATGTTGTCTCATCTTACGCAGCAATTTTGGCTGAGAAAATAGTTCTAGAAGGACAGTTGGCATCATGTGCAATGGCAGCAGATAATCAAACGACTGATGACACTGCAGTGTTGTCTGCTCTTCAGATCACGGAAAACCCATCAATCCTTGCTATGGAGGTGTTCTTAAGGTGTCAGGTTGATACATCAGTTCATCAAAAACTCAATCAGGCAACAGAACATATGGATTCTGTCACTGGTCATATCATCACTAGGTCATTGGTGCAGGGTGAGATATCTCATGCCTTAGCGAAGATGAAATCACAGTTCTCTTTGAAAGATGGTGTACGCGACATAACAGACCTTCTCCGCCAGGAGAGGAAATTCTCACATGAACAATTGCTAGCTAAGTGTGAGACCATGTGTAACTCAGTGGATGTGTACCAGGCACTGGTAGTGTCCTCACTGCGATGTCAGGCGTGCCTGGCACAGACACCAAGTATTGCTGAGAGTTTATATACAAAAATGTCACAATCATTCCAAAAACGCATAGAAGAATTCCAAGAAAAACGAAGGACATCAGAAGGTAGAGAGCAGAACAGGTGTCAGCACATTATAAATGTACTGGAAATAGAACTAGAGTCTAGTGTTAGAAATTTAAGAGAATTATTAGGGTCAGGTTTAACGGAAAAAGACGATACAGTACAAGATATGACAGTTGGATCTTTAGAATCCTCAGTGTTACAACTAGCGGACATTCTTGTACATAGAGCAACAATCAAAGGTACAGTAGGATATATTACAGACATGGTTAGCTCAGGAAACTTTCCAGAACTTCCTGACACTGCCACATTCTCATCAGAACATGTACTCATAGGTGATCAGAATGAGGCCATGCAGGTGCTTGCAAGATCTCTTTCAAATGAAGCAACAAACAAGCAATCTTTGGCAGCTGAGTTGAAAAAATTCAATCCAGAAAATGCTTCAAGTTCTGAAGAATGTTCTCGGATAGTAGACATTTTAGGGATTGTCCCTGACAGTGAACTAGGAAATAACCTCGGAACATATGGTGAGAACCTGTTACGGGAAGCTCTTCACCAAGCTCAGCTTACTTACATGTCCTACAAGATGAAGTTACAGCATGAGAGAAACATGCGCGAGATGAAGATGAAAATTGAAGCTGGTCAGAAAGTAGACCTTCCTTCCGATTCCAGCAGAGAAGCGGAAGGTGACATTCATGCTTCCTTGTCAGTGTTTGAAGAAATCTTAGAAACAAAGTTTGAGGATGAGTGTGAAGTGCTAACAATACTGGACAAGGAAATCAAACAGTTACAGTCTGTATCAACAGATACCACAGAAAAGGGATATAGTCAACAACTCAGCAACCTTATCTCTACATTTGAAAATGAACTGGCTGTCTCCCAGGAACGACATGATATACATGTGGATGTTTTACGTCAAGAAGTCAGCAATATTGTGATGCGCCTTGAGAAAATGACAGATGACTATGAGAAGGAGAAGGAGGTACTGGTGTCAGAGTATGAGAGTAAAGTCGGAAGTCTCCAGGAGGAACTGGAAACAATTCAGGTGGACCATGAGGAGGAACTAGAGCAGGTGCGCCAGGACATCATGACTGCTGTCAGTGCAATCCGTGCCAATGAGGAAGAGGTGGATGGTCAAGTAGCTGACCAGGTCAAAGGAAAAGGGTTCAACCGGCAAATGATCTCTCAGAAGGATAACTTCAGTGTAAGTAAATGAATTTGATCTTCTCTCAAGGGTATAAACTAATTGATTGTCATTTATAAAAGTGTTTTCCTTGTGTAAATTAGTTAACTTTTCATCTCTCCAGGGTTTGAACTAATTATTTGTAAGCAATAAAGTTTCTGCTTCAGTGTGAATAGGATGATTGAGGTTGTACAGGTGTTGTACAGGTTGTTGATGATATGTTAACACCTGTTGTACAGGTATTGTTGATGAGGTGTTAACACCTGTTGTACAGGTATTGTTGATGAGGTGTTAACACCTGTTGTACAGGTTGTTGATGAGGTGGTCACACATGTTTTGTAGGTATTGCTGACGGAACTTCATGAGAAGCTTGCCAACTCAAACCTCAGTCCTTCTCTGTCCACTCAAGTGTTGGATCTTGTTAGTCAACTCCAGGAGTCTCTCAACAGTGACACTGTAAGTAGAAGTGCTGTGCTTAATCTTAATTGCATGGAACTGAATAATAGGTCTGTCATTAATTTTCATCTGCAATCTCTTTAACAGTTGTGATCTCCATCTTATCATGTTTTCCATGGAATGCTAACTGGCATTGCCCTCCCTTGTGTTTGATTTAAGAATGAGTTGAAGCAAATGTATTTTGAATGTTTGCCTGTTAACTGCTTGTTTTCACTTGCCTATTATTTGGTTGTAAATGAGGAGGCCATATTGCCTGTTGTTTTAGTTACAGGAGTTTGAGGATCCCCTGTCCCCCCTGCCTGTGTCCTCGCCCCCTCCATTGCCTGTTCCGCCACGGAAGTCTGAGTCTCTCAGCGATGTCCCTGCCATGGACACGCTCAACATGACAGATGATGTAAGCTATCCCAGCATGCCTGGTTCACATTAACATCACTTTGTTTTACTTTGTTGTAAAAGTTGATCATTTTGTTGATATTTGTAACTTGGTTATTAGCATGTGGATCATTTTAAGATGACATTGGGTGGACATACAGTTTCACAGGTTGTATGACTTTATGAACTAAGATTTCCATCTGATAGTCTCATCACTGTTAAAATCTCATGTTCACTAGAATTTTTAATTGCAACTTTTAATCAAACAGGTTTTTTTGGAGTGACTTGACAATTGCACCACAATCCTGCTTTAAGATGATTGGTCCTTACTGAGAAGTGCATTGATAGGTGTATCCATAGTGAAATATTTTCTGTCTTGTAATATGCTGGACTGATCCATAATGGAAAAAGATCTATCTCGTAAACCTGGGGACAAATTCCAATGAATTAAATTTTTGTTGTTTGCAGTCATTCCATACTCTGGATAGATCTCAGCATGATTACGAACTGGAACTACTAAAGCGAGAGAAAGAGGAAGCTTTAGCAGAAGAAGTCAAAACAACTAAAGCAGGTCAGGAATCCATATACAATTCTACAATGTCACAGTCACATTGAACTCGACATTTAGAGTTCTGTAGGTTTGTGTGAGAATGATAATGGTAAAAGGAGAGAAAATTGTTTTATTGTAGTACATAGGTACAATTGTAATACATAGACGGTAATTAATAGCTATGGTAAGTATTACGGTTTGTTTGGTGTCATCAATTTTTGGACTGAAAGGATTTCATTGTAAATTATGAATATTTAATATTATCATGGTTACAAGGTCAGTGTCATGTTAAAGTACTAAATGCTAGTTTCCTTTGTGTTGTAGCTCTGGATGCGATGAGAAAGGCTTATGAAGATGACCTTGAGGAGGAGAAAGAGAGATACAGAATTGCTCTCAAGACCATGTATAATGATGACTACATCCAGGATATACGTCGACAACAAGAGTATGTAGTTTTTAAATACACTGGATCAGATAACATTGATAATCCATCAATATTTACATTTCCGGTGTGTATTCTCTGTTTGGTCTTTTCAACAACCTTCCACATCAAATTGGAATCAGCTATTTTGCTATTCCATCAGTTGTCTGACTGTTCCGTCTGTGCGTATAATGTCCAATGAAGAATGAATATTCATTTTTTAAAAGGCATTATTAAAAAACGGTTGTCAAATTGTAAATTTTTTGTTTTTGTTGTTTATTGGTGTGTAAACTGCATTGATCACAGATATTTCAATATAATGCATTAGCATGCATCATTTAAATATCTGTTTAAAAATGCATTGTACACACCAGTAAGCAACAAAAAAGAAATATTATTTCTTGATTAGCCATGAATTCACTTAATTAGTAATTCTTTATGGTAAGGAGTCTTTACTCCAGATGTGTGCCAGATACATTTTTAGGTCATCTGACCCGAAGGGTCGAGATGACCTATAGCCGTCATGCTTCGTCCATCGTCGTCCGCCATGTGTCATCCGTAAACTTTTCATTCAAAAAACTTCTTCTCAAATACTAGAAGGCCTAGGGGGCTAATACTTGGCCTATAGCATGCTGGCATGGAGCCCTACAAAGTTTGTTCAAATTAATGACCTCGACCCACTTTCAAGGTCACAGATGTCAAATATGTTGAAATTTTTAAACAACTTCTTCTCAACCACCAAAAGGCTCAGAATGCTGATATTGGGTCTGTAGGATGCTGGGAGGGAGGGCTACCAAGTTTATTCAAATGAATAAAGCCCACTGTTTTAATAGCGGACTCACTGTTGTTAGAGTTTGGCTTGCTTTTTGTCAGATGACCGTTAAGGCCCATGGGCCTCTTGTCTTCACTAGATGGATGGTATCTATACTAACCCCAGGGGTCAGCATATTACCTCTGACTCAGCATCAACAGATAGGTTTATAACAGAACAATGTACAGTTGGTAGTAGTATACATCATTAATTCTGTGGAACAATGAATAGATATAGGTGGGCTTATTACCAGACATGGGCTTATCGTTGTATAAATATGGTAACACACAGTAAAAGTAGTATTGTTTATGCAGTGAAGAACTGGAGAGAGTGAAGGAGGAGCTGAAGATTGTGACCATGTCCTATGACAGTAAATGTGAAGACTTCAACATAATGGAGGAGAAACTTAACAGTGTGAAGACAGAATATGAGTCTCATATACAACATCTGGTCAAAAGGTAAGTAGGTCAAGGGTCATTTACTCAGACCAGTTTTATGACTTATATATCAAGCATACTGGGCTTGGCTTCAAAAGTGTTAGTAGAAAGTTCACAAAACATTATGCATCTGACCATACGATTTGTTAATTATGTGATGAAATACTGTCTCCAGGCAAGTGGTTTTAATAAGTAGGTCAGCAGTGTTGACTTGTAAAAAGCTCTGAGCAGCAGTATTGAGTAGTAAAATCTCTGAGCAGCAGTATTGAGTAGTAAAATCTCTGAGCAGCAGTATTGAGTAGTAAAATCTCTGAGCAGCAGTATTGAGTAGTAAAATCTCTGAGCAGTAGTATTGAGTAGTAAAATCTCTGAGCAGCAGTATTGAGTAGTAAAATCTCTGAGCAGCAGTATTGAGTAGTAAAACCTCTGAGCAGTAGTATTGAGTTGTATTGAATTGGGATATATGTAAAATTTTCTGTGTTCAGTAATCAACACCTGAATGAGCTTGTAAATGAGGAGATTGGTAAACTGAAGGATTTCGTAGAAAACAGGTCAATGGGACGTATTCCAGGTAACGCTACTCTGGAGGAAGAGCTTTATGATGCACAGGTAAGATATATAATTTAACCAAGAAACTTTCCATTTTCACCCTAATGTCCTGTATCCTTAAAGTAGTGCATTGACATTTGCAAAGGTTAAAATATTTGGCCTTGTTTTCATAATATTGTACAATCAGGTGTCTTCCTATTATACTTTTTACCACTTTGCTCTTCGGGCAGAATTAGTCTGTAGTTATATCAGCCAATTGTATCTGACTGTTGTCTTGATATCTGTTAGTGGGGTATTACATAAATACTTGTTCTGTACTTCAGATCATGGTACGAATGAAGGACGCTGAGCTGCAGAAACTAAGGTCACAGGTGAAGAATTTGGAGAACAATCTAGAGAGAGTGACAGAGGTAAAGTTTTGTGGGTTGTAATGTTTAGCCTTGGCTGGTCGGTTAGTCTGTGATAAAATTTTAACTGTTACATACAATTTTTTATCAAAGAATACCAGAACAATAACTGTTTTATCCCCTCATTTAGAATTGTCTGATCTGGTTACAACAGTTTGATCTCAAATTGTGGTCTTTTCATGTATATTGGCTATAACAGTTAGCTCATCAATTATGATAGTATGCAAATTCATTTGTTTAAAGATGAAAATATTCACTAATGAGATGATTGAGGGATAATTGTTAATGATTTACTGGGAGATGGGATGTGTGAATGCTTTAGTTTGAGACTGAAGTTTATGGTCTACAGGAGCAGAGGAACAGCATGACTCAGTACTTACAAATGTACAAGAAGGTACAGGAACTGCAGGCCAAGAATAAAAATAAAAAACAGGAAGAACAAGACCATGATTCTCGAGCCACAAATCGCTCCCTCCGCCGAAGTAAGTACATACACATATTGTATCACCATTACCTGTTCACCAACCCCTCCCTCCACTGAAGAAAGTACACAAACATATAGTATCACCATTACCTGTTCACCAACCCCTCCCTCCACTGAAGAAAGTACACAAACATATAGTATCACCATTACCTGTTCACCAACCCCTCCCTCCACTGAAGTAAGTACACAAACATATAGTATCACCATTACCTGTTCACCAACCCCTCCCTCCACTGAAGTAAGTACACACACATATTGTATCACCATTACCTGTTCACCAACCCCTCCCTCCACTGAAGTAAGTACACACACATATTGTATCACCATTACCTGTTCACCAATCCCTTACTCCGCCGAAGTAAGTACACACACATATTGTATCACCATTACCTGTTCACCAACCCCCTCACTCCGCCGAAGTAAGTACACACACATATTATATCACTGTTACCTGTTCACCAATCCCTTACTCCACCAAAGTAAGTACATACACATATTGTATCACCATTACCTGTTCACCAACCCCTCACTCCGCCGAAGTAAGTACACACACATATCATATCACTGTTACCTGTTCACCAATCCCTTACTCCACCAAAGTAAGTACATACACATATTGTATCACCATTACCTGTTCACCAACCCCTCCCTCCACTGAAGTAAGTAAACACACATTTGTATCATCATTACCTGTTCACCAACCCCTCCCTCCACTGAAGTAAGTATGTCTTCACACACACCTATATCACATATTCTTTGGGAACATATGACTCCTCAGGTTACTATCAGACCAGAAGGAAACTTAATCTGATTTGTAAACCTTTGCATAGCAGATGTAGAATGAAGTATACTGTTTCTGTAGAATGAAGTATACTGTTTCTAGACCTTCAGTACAAATAGTTCTTCTCTGATTACAGCGCCCTCCTTCCATCATCGAGCAAGGAGTCCAAGTCCACAGACATCTGGCAAGAAGGAGGAACATCACAGTCGTGATTCACACCGCCGGCGCCATCTGGACGCACGTGGTATGTTGGATCATTATAATCCAGTAATAAGCTTTAGTTTACAATGAAAAGATATATCTGTTACTAGGTTTTTAATTGATACTTTTTTTTCTTAAGTTTTAAGAAATTGTGATAAATTTTGAAGTTCTAATGGTACTAATGGTAACAACTGCAATATATGGAACTACATACCTTTTAATCGGTTTTAGTATCTTGTCCCTCTTCATCAATCATTTTTTTTTTTTTTACTGAGGAATTCATTGGAATGGTCCACATATTAGTCCATATAAGAAGTATAGGTATTGAAGTTTGCTAACAAGAAGGAGATTTCGACCTGAGGACCCTAGGAACATTCAAATATTTGTAATTAATATATTAACATCTTTTTTTACAGATCTGAAGAGATCCAAGAGTAGTCCAACCATTCCCTTCGTATTTGGGGGTAGACTGCCCTCAACTAGTAGTCTTGGTAAATCGTCAAGCTTCAAATCTGCCAAGGCTATGAAGGCATCAAAATAACTTCACAGACTGCAGAATATGTTTACCAAGCTTTTTGAAGCGCCAAAATAATACCAGACTCTACAACAGATTTCAGACAAGCCTTAAGGCATTAAAATAATACCACAGACTCTACAACAGATTTCAACCAAGCCTATAGGCAGCAAAGTAACACCAGACTCAACAACAGATTTCAACCAAGCCTATAGGCATCAAAATAACACCAGACTCTACAACAGATTACACCAAGCCTATAGGCATCAAAGTAACACCAGACTCAACGACAGATTTCAACCATGCCTATAGGCATCAAAATAACACTAGACTCAACAACAGATTACACCAAGCCTATAGGCATCAAAGTAACACCAGACTCAACGACAGATTTCAACCAAGCCTATAGGCATCAAAGTAACACTAGACTCAACAACAGATTACACCAAGCCTATAGGCATCAAAATAACACCAGACTCTACAACAGATTACACCAAGCCTATAGGCATCAAAATAACACCAGACTCTACAACAGATTACACCAAGCCTATAGGCATCAAAGTAACACCAGGCTCAACGACAGATTTCAACCATGCCTATAGGCATCAAAATAACACCAGACTCTACAACAGATTTCAACCAAGCCTATAGGCATCAAAGTAACACCAGGCTCAACGACAGATTTCAACCATGCCTATAGGCATCAAAATAACACCAGACTCTACAACAGATTTCAACCAAGCCTATAGGCATCAAAGTAACACTAGACTCAACAACAGATTTCAACCATGCCTATAGAAACCTTCAATGGTAAACCTATGATATGGAGAACCTTATACTGTATAACTGTTAAAATAGAACAGAAAGTGAACAGGAGATTGTATTGTTCACATGTTGATTATTAAATCTACAGAGTTTAATATAGACCAGGAGACTACCGGTATGTGATATTAACCACACAACAGTAGCTAAACTATATGTCTTTCAGTTAAAGATTTGATGTGAACAGATATAGAGGTATATTGCATTAAACTGGAACTGTTTTAAATAGACACAGAAATATCACTTGTATAGAATATAATTGTTGAAAATTTTGGTTTTTCTCCAAAATTTTAAAAAGCAATGGATGATATTTATAGGACATTTTGAATACAACAATGCCTCATTAAATGCAATAGGGCAATGTTACTAGGTAGATAGGGTATTATATATAATTATTTAGCAATTTTTTTTGTGATGTCTACATGACTGTACAACAATGATATTATTTATAAAGTAAGAGGTATGAAGGCTGAATTTTATAAATACATGTATTGCCATCTTATCCAGTCACATGACTGGAAATAACACTGCAGGTATTAATTTAAATGCCTTTTTTAAAACTATATTTCTTCAATGTCTTGATATCCAGTTTAAGGAAATATTATCATGACTGCTGGCTTTTTTGTTTTGTCTTTTTTTTTGTAAAATTTTACAAACAAATGACACTTTTTCAACCTTAAATTGTCATTACAGGTCTGCCATTTACTATAATACAATGTTGTAAGGCCGTCAGACACATGTATAATCCATTATATCTACTGGAATCAAACAGGAAAAGATTCCTGTGGACTAAAGTGATTTTGATTCTGTAGCTGTAAATGTGGACTCCTGAATCATAATTAGGGTGCCTTGTCCTTTTAATGCTTTGTTTTTAGCTTGTCATTGTAAAAAAATTCATCTCAACTTTCATCGTTATTACTGCTTTATCTTACATTGAACCCAGACTGCCAAATTTAAATGTTTTATTGTTAATTTCAAAATATTTTATTTTCAAACTTTATGATTTTAATCACAAAATGCTTCCAGATTTTAAAAGTTTTACAAGGTGAGATCACTGTTGTGTGACTGAGTGTAGGTATAGAAGATTTGACACAGACTTAGTGTGCTTGTATTAATCTGTGATAATGAACTGTTCTTGTATGGATTTTATTACATAATCAATTATTTCAATTCTTGCCAGAAAAACAAATATTCTCAGCAAGATTTCTCCCGTTGTTGAACCAAACCTGAGAATTACACTGTGTTATTAGATACACAACATTTATAACTAAATTTGCACCCAAGTGTATTCAGGTAAGCATTCATTTACCTGTAAACAAACATGTCTCGAGTAAATGTATCAATACATATCTGATAACAACATCTCGTAGAAATATCCGAATAAGCTACAGAAATGTGTTACTGCTCTTGAAGGTAACTCTCAAAAACAATTTATGTTTGCATAGATCCATGGATTAAAATATTCAACAATTTTAATTTTTAAATCTCATTGTTATGAATCTAATGCAACATTTTATTTCAATAATGCAGAGTACTTACTTATAAAAGTACTCAACATTTTATTGGTAGTTAGAATGATATATAAATGAACTCTTAACAATCTATATCATAAAGTTGTGTAATGTTTATTCAATAAAGTTAACCAAAGAAATGTATTAATATAAACATATATATGAACTTGAGGAGAATCAAAATATTTATATCCAAGTAGATAGTTTATTTAATATCCTGGAATCTCTGGAGAGTAATGTTGCTTGCATTGCCACATTACGTAAATTCTGTCAATTACTGCCTAGACCAGAATGCTGTCACTTGCTGTCAATATGGTATCTAGTGTTAGATATTCTGATAAGTCCTTGCTTTATTGATTTTAATACTATTTTGTTGTCCCAGTTTTCCCTTATGAGATTGTTTTAGCTGGGCTGTATTTAATAATGGAAACAATGAATGTGAAACAAACTAGCTTACATTCAGCTTATTGTTTATATTGAAGTTTTCCTCTGTAGCTCTACAACATTCAGATACTGGTTTTCAGTACTTTTCAACATAATTTGCATTTCCAGTTGTACCATTCAGAAAAAATCTTTCCATATTTCTAGCTAAAACAAGAGAGATTTTCAATAGAATTTATTGTTCCTTCAAAAATGAACAAGTGAAGCTCAAAAATTTTCCCAATTTATAAGTATTAACCTTTTACGGAGTTTTAATAACTGGATGCTATCCTGTGTAAGAGATACCTAGTATGTTTGTTTGTGTGTGCATGTTTTTTGTTTTGTTTTAATGATACAAGCGCTCTGCCTACCCTTGTATATATACAATCTTCCCTACAGTGCATATAGTTTCCAATGATTTTGTTTCACAATTTTAATAATGAAATTTTACATGAAGCAATTTATGAACTGACCGATACCATTTTTACAACACCAGGCCTTTTAAATGTTGCCTTGTCTGTTCTTTTGTCAGAAAAAATACTTTCATTTTGCCTATGAAATAACTGTTTGAAACTGACTTTTTAATGTTCAGGGAAAGGGTTTGGTATAAACTTCAAAGAGAACCTCCTAAACCGTAACAATATATTCAACCCTACAATAAAGATACGAGATATATGTACATATATATTGTATATACGATTATATAACTTTACCTTAGAATTACATAGAATTTTACATATCTTTGATTATTTAATGTTTATTTTGTGAGATTGGCGGTATTGGTATATGAGTTTAGGGAAGAAGGTCATTGTTCACGTAGAGATGTATACTTTTGTAAACATTTGCCACTAACAATCATGACATACATCAAAGAAACATACCCTGATAAATAACTAATAAAGATCAAAATAATATATATATAAATCTGAGTGTTTCTTGTCTGTTTCTGTAATCATAGTCAGCCAAAGGAGCCAATACACCAACTATGACTGGATGTACCACTTATTGTACGACAAAGAAGTGGAAAGTGTTAGTAGTTTCACTGGCCAGTAATAGACATGGATTGTCTTATGGCTGAATAAATATAGTATTACATCCAATGAGGGTACAGCTAGCCTGTGATAATGTAACTTCACCCAATGAGGGTACAGCTAGCCTGTGTAAATGTAACTTCACCCAATGAGGGTACAGCTAGCCTGTGTAAATGTTACTACACCCAATGAGGGTACAGCTAGCCTGTGTAAATGTTACTACACCCGATGAGGGTACAGCTAGCCTGTGTAAATTTTACAACCCACTGATGGAACAGCTAGCCTATGTAAATGTTACTACACCCAATGAGGGTACAGCTAGCCTATGTAAATATTTCTACACCAAAAGTAAACGGCTAGCCTGTGTAAATGTTACTACACCCGATGAGGGTACAGCTAGCCTGTGTAAATGTTACTACACCCAATGAGGGTACAGCTAGCTTGCGTAAATGTTACTACACCCAATGAGGGTACAGCTAGCCTATGTAAATGTTACTACACCCAAATAAGGGTAAAGCTAGCCTTTGTAAATATTTCTACACCAAAAGTAAACAGCTAGCCTGTGTAAATGTTACCACCCAATGAGGGTACAGCTAGCCTATGTAAATGTTTCTACACCCAATGAGGGTACAGCTAGCTTTTGTAAATGTTACTACACCCAATGAAGGTACAGCTAGCCTGTGTAAATGTAACTTCACCCAATGAGGGTACAGCTAGCCTGTGTAAATGTAACTTCACCCAATGAGGGTACAGCTAGCCTGTGTAAATTTTACAACCCACTGATGGAACAGCTAGCCTATGTAAATGTTACTACACCCAATGAGGGTACAGCTAGCCTATGTAAATGTTACTACACCCAATAAGGGTACAGCTAGCCTATGTAAATATTTCTACACCAAAAGTAAACAGCTAGCCTGTGTAAATGTTACTACACCCGATGAGGGTACAGCTAGCCTGTGTAAATGTTACTACACCCAATGAGGGTACAGCTAGCTTGCGTAAATGTTACTACACCCAATGGGGGTACAGCTAGCCTATGTAAATGTTACTACACCCAAATAAGGGTAAAGCTAGCCTTTGTAAATATTTCTACACCAAAAGTAAACAGCTAGCCTGTGTAAATGTTACCACCCAATGAGGGTACAGCTAGCCTATGTAAATGTTTCTACACCCAATGAGGTTACAGCTAGCTTTTGTAAATGTTACTACACCCAATGAAGGTACAGCTAGCCTGTGTAAATGTAACTTCACCCAATGAGGGTACAGCTAGCCTGTGTAAATGTAACTTCACCCAATGAGGGTACAGCTAGCCTGTGTAAATGTTACTACACCCAATGAGGGTACAGCTAGCCTGTGTAAATGTTACTACACCCAATGAGGGTACAGCTAGCCTGTGTAAATGTTACTACAACCCACTAAGGGAACAGCTAGCCTATGTAAATGTTACTACACCCAATGAGGGTACAGCTAGCTTGTGTAAATGTTACTATACCCAATGAGGGTAAAGTTAGCCTTTGTAGATGTAACTTTACCCATTGAGGGAATAGCTAGCCTATGTAAATGTTACTACACCCAATAAGAGTATAGGTAGCCTATGTAAATGTTACCACTCAATAAGGGAACAGCTAGCCAGTGTAAATATTACTACACCCAATAAGGGAACAGCTAGCCAGTGTAAATATTACTACACCCAGTAAGAGTATAGCTAGCCTATGTAACTGTTATTTCATTTTCAGTGGGAACAGCTTATCTTTTGTAAATATTACCCTATACATTCAGATCAATTATGTTTCATGTCAAATATAACCAATCTGAGTACCTCAAATGTCCCAGTATTCAACAAGGAAGCATTTCATATGTGGCAAACTTTGTTGCAACGCCAGCATGCTACTTGTCTGACAAGCTGCCGTCTTGGATTTTGAAGATGAACATCTGTAATCGCATGGATATTTCTCAAATTTCAGCTAAAGGCCACTTTAACCCCTGGTGTGTCCTTTTAATTTTGGAACAGATCAGAACAAAAATGGCAGACAGGAAGTCGTCTTGGATTTCAATTCTGAAAATTTGTTACCTCTTCTTGTGCCCATGTCAAAATCTCACAATTTGCACATAAACAGTTCATGACATTCTAGCACTGGAACTAACATAAAAAGCTCATGTGCAATTTATCATGGGAATGAGGCTGAAATCTCATGTGAGTTTACATGAGAAGAATTGTCAAAGCTGGTTGAGCAATATGCTCATATTAAAAAAAAACACATGACATATCAAAAACCATAGACATGTACATTTATGTACAGGTTATTTTGAATTTTGACAATTGACCACATTGCATAAACCTTTTTTGTAGATGTACTCAGCAATTATCGAGAATCACAATTACATCTAGTGTATTAGTGTATTATCAATCGGTGAACTACTGACTGATTTTGTCATGCCATCATAAAAGTACCTTTTGCACTTTCTAAGATGGAGCCATTTTCCCACTGCAGTTAAGATTTATGTAGGAAAGTAAAGAATTTAAGACATAGTCATAGTACATTTTGTTAACATGATCACATTGCTAATGCACATGAGCTCCAATGGGCATCCTTATCATAATGTGAGCTTTCAAACTTAATTTCTGCTCATGTGAAAAAGCCAATTTGCAAACATTTCAAACTTGTTGCCCATGAGTTGCTCATGGGTGAGAAGTGCTGGATAGACCCCCTTGGTCCCTTATGCTCTTTTAAAGACTGAACAGAAAAACTATTTGGCTCCACCAATTACCATTTTTAAATTTTGACATTCAGGTTTGTTATTGCTATTTCTTGAGAAGTAGTGAATGAATCATTTTCCAATTTCAATAGGTTCCTGTGGTTCCTGGGATAGAATGGTCAATTTTGAGATTGGTCACATAACTAAAATTGCTGACAGGTGGCCATCTTGGATTTTCACAGTGAATGATTCTTATCACTATTTCTTGAGATGTGTTGGGAAGATCTTTCTCATGTTTTATTTATGGGATCTAAATGTTCTCTTTACCTAGCCTAGTTGTATATTGTCCATTTTGTAACTGATCTTTCAAAAATGGCTAACCCCACGACCACCTTGGATTTGACATTTAAAATATTGATATTATCCCTCGCTTCAGAGGTATTCTAAAATGAGCAAATAAGAGGAAAGATGAGAAAAGATTGGAAATTTCTTGAAGAGTATAATAAATTCGAACGAAATTTCAAAGTTTAAAGATTTATTAAAACACTCATGGAATAAACACACATACAAAAATCATAACACCATTCACACAGTAACATGCAAATAATGTACCAACATTCTATCATTAACATAGGCTGGCTTAACAAGCAACGACAACAAAATAATTTTGTCTAGCACCTCCCCCTCAGAGGCCAGTGCTGTGGCAGTGTACATATCGACAACTTTTACTTTGTCTACTAGATCAGTCTCCCATTTTTGGTCCCAGTCTTAAGATAGACTTCTTATCTAATTGAACATGCTTATTTAAAAAAAAAAAGAAGAAAAACTATACAGACTTGAGGCCTGCACATTATTGACTCAGAGAACTGCCAATATGTGTTTATTCTTTTGTCACATCCTACAGCAAACTGTCTTACAACTATAAAGTGATGTGAACTCTCAGGAGATAATGAAGAATTGTAATATCCAGATCATATCTGTTGACCTTTATGAGAGTTATGTATTACCTGCTGAACACTATACTGCAGAATTTTAAAAACAGAGTGAACTGCAAGAGGAGTAGCCACAGGTCAGCTGACCTGTACTTAAAGTCTCAAATCACTTAAGATCATGATGACAACTAGATTAACCTGACTTTATCACATTTTTTAAAAGGTAATGTGCCAACTTTAGATTTTACAAATACTGGGTATGCCATGTGAAGTAGTGTAAGCTATGATTTGTACAGCCAAAATCTAAGCAAAAAACATAGCATCTGAAAAATCTAAATTTTAAAAATATGAATATAACTGACCACAAAATATTTAAAAGATCAGTTCTACACATTTGATTAATATGATGTTAAAGAGATAAGATGGACTGAAAAATTTAAACATTCAGAAATTAGATAAAGACAAAAATATGTTTAAACCCATATCACAAATGTGTATAGGAAGATCTGGAGAACATTTACTTCTTTCTAACAATTCTTGTATTGAAACTATTTTTTCTGCTACTGATTTCTATTTCATGTCTAATTTCTAGCGTGGAAATACTTGTCAAGGATTTAACATGACTGGTAAAACATCTTTGTCTTTTACAGAAGTATATATAACCATAAGTAAAAATGACATATCACTAAACACATGTCCCCTCTATACATCAAAAGTAAAGATGAAAAAGAAATCAGTTTACATATTCCATCAGGATAAGTTGAAGAATAATTACCAGTAATTTTTATAATAAGAAAAAATATGAAGCAATAACTTAGACACATACACATAATATAGATGAATTTGTCATTGTCAATATCTCTCACGGAAGCATACAGATATAATTTGATTCATATCAAAACATTTACCACAATACATGATTTTTTTCAAGATCAACTATCTAAAATTTTATGAAATTGATAGCCACAAATGAATTACACATGTATTAGCGACAAAAGAAAACTACACAAGTTCTAATGGTCTTTAAAAAGTCCTTCATAAAACCCATCAATATGGCGACAGCTATTTCAGTCTAAGTTATTATTTCATATTTATAGGACAATGTCACAATATCTAAAGAATTACCAAAAACTGTAGATATTTATTAATCAAAACACTGATAGACAAGAAAAAGAGACTTTTATATTAAAAAGAGAAAAAATTGCTATTGATCATCAATCCAGCCTGTAACAAACTTGCTACTCCATCAACTTGTTGACTTTGTGGGACAGCAGGGATCCTAGGAAGCTCCAGGAGGGGGAGACATCTGAGGCATCATTCCTGGATAAAGATTTGCACCAGAGGCAGCCATGGCAGCATTGGGGCCAAGAAGTATCTAAACAGAAGGTACACAAATTTTATCTATGGTGATTAATCACATGAAATGATTTGCTACAATATATAATTCATTAAATATACATCTACTATTACCTATATACATCTACAATTATTTATTGCAGTAAGAAATATTTCTATGCTCACCTGTCTCTCCTGTTCACGTTGCATCTCTTGCTGCTGAGCTCGCTCTGACTCAAACACTACAGGCAATGTAAGGATGGTAGCTGCTGATGCTACTACCCACAGTGCACTGCGAGTGAAGCCATAACTAGCCTTGGAGGCAGCAACAGCAAATGTAGCTGCATTACCACATGCAGTTCGCACATTTTCAGGAAACATTTCAGTCAGACCTATCAACCTCTCTGTAAGGGTTTCATCAATGTCCTAAAAACAGAAATGAAAATACATTGTAGATGCATATATCTTCAATGAAAATATTTCTTTCATAAAACTTATGTGGCAGCACCATATAAGTTATTCTAATTAAGAATATATTGGAATGTGCTCCTCTTAGATATTTTGAAACATATTCTTTGGGTTTAAAATATTAATAGAATAGAAGTTCTTATAGCTCAATCAGTAGCAGATTTGTAGCACTTGTGTTATAAGAGCTTCTATTCCAGGATCTCCTGAGTTGTATTCTTCATTATCTCAATCCTAGTTTATATTAGCCAAAATATACAGTTTGGCTGGAGAGATTTTCTCCTTAAAAGATCACTTGAGCTTAAAACTATAAGCCAGATGTTCAATCCCACGAGAAGGCAATACAATTAAATAATTACCGCTCATACATCGAGTCATTAATGTTAATTACCAACAAGCATTTTGTCACATCATGTGTGGAAATTCAAAGTGGTTACAAATACAACCCAACAAACAGCAAATGGCTCATAGGATTTTTTTTCATACAGCAGACTGAACTTCTGGTCTATTGATTGGTTAAATAATTATCTTTACCTAAAAAACTATATGAAACTTGTAATGCCAAAATTAGTCTGAATTATTCTGATGTTCTATCAACTTTTTTTATATGGGTCTTGATTTGATGAATGTCAGAAGTTTAACCCTTCATAAAATTGAAGGAAATAAGTGATACATGCCTAGTTTGGCAATGGCATTCAAATGGTAATTGTGGAAAGTCATTTTCAATGCAGACCGCATAGGGATTTAAAATTTTGTTCATTATCTACAAGATTTCCACACAGGACATGTCTCATTATGCCAACCAACTTAATGAAAATACATTTTCCCCACTTTACATTGTTTGAGTTCCATGTTTGTGGTAGCCTCCTCTGATCGTATGCCTATCATCTCACTAGGTTAATTTTTCTTGTGGTGGAGTTTCAATCAACAATGTTAAGTAATAATAACTTTTCACTCTCCACTTGTGCAACTAGGCAAGTCACTTCAAAAAAGTTGTGATATTACAGTAATTAATTTTTAAACAAGAAAAGATTTCAAAGATATATCTCTCAAAATCTTAAAAATTGTATTTTTTCTCTTAACAAAATTGTTTTAAATTCCACAGAATCACCAATTCTGCCTGTAGGTCTGAGATTTACTAGCTATAATACATGATTGACCAAAGTTTGGCTGGCCTAGTGCTTGTATTCTGTCTGAAATAGAGCTAAACCAAATGCTTTAAAATTGTACAATTACCTGTGACTGAAATTCACAATCAGAAGTGTTTGTTTGGATGACAATTTTATTCTGGGTCTGATTATGACAGCACATGTACTTTGGTTTGCTTTTTGTACTTATTGCCAGTGATCAGCCAGGCTCATTTTGAGACAGGGTATCCTTATAGTAGCTGGTGGCTACTTCACTGAATGGCATGAAGGAGGCCTGTCACATGTCATTTGATGTCAATAATCCTAACCAAGCTTGAATTATTTCTTACTGAAAATAAACATAGTATATCCCAAAATATAATTTTCTTCTATTAACTTTTACTACCTCCTCCCTGTCTTGGTCTCTAAAAGTAGATTTTTTTTAAAATACCAGCAAATTTTTTCCCTTTTCCCTCCCTCTCCCTTCAGGCCACTGGGGACTGAAATCATACAATTTCAGTTTGTCAATGCCCATATACAATGTACATCAAAACTTTCTGCAAAATTTTATTGAAATCACTGCAGTAGTTTTCCAGAAGTCAGAAATATAAAAATGATAATGGACAATGTTTGTACAGAACTATAAAAATTGGCATCAGTTTGTTGGTAAAGGATAGACTGGTGTTTGGTAATAATATCAAAAATAGCAATATCTCTCCAAAATTACTATTTAATATTTGACCCAAGTGACAATTATTGCCTTAAAACAAATATAAACAATTCGATAGAGTGTTAGAATAATTTGGGCTTGTCAAAAAAATTTCAACAAAACAAGGGCAAAATATGGACACAAAAAAGATTTACATGTAGACACCATAAAAGTATTAGGAGAATTAGACTTATTTCCTGTTTAAATGGCACATTTCTCAAGAGATATAACAAAAAAGTTTATCTTAACCAATCAGGATAAAAAAATTTCTGTCAATCTTATTTCCTGTTTAAATGGCACATAAGAGAGTAGTTGTAATAATTATGGTAGGTAATTCAGTCCACGTTAAACCTATTATGAGCATTACGAAGTGTAACCTGCATTCATTGCAGCACTACATTGATAAATATTGACTTGAACAAGTTGCAACACATTTTCCCCACACATATAAGTGACACATAAAGAAGAATTCACTCTACATATGTATAGTATTACGAATGATAAAAAAGTTTCCATAAGTCGATTAATGACATAAAATATTGCGTCAGTTCCTAGGTTAGCATGTTAAACCCGCTTTGGCAAAACAATCACGTGTTTTATTATTACTCTCTCGTGACCTTGGGTATAATAATATCGGGACGACGTTTACAACTAGATCAGGAAACACATGCACATGCATTGTATAAATGAATTCTTCTCTGACTTGTATTATTGTAGTAAGTGTTATGATATTTGTTGCAACTATGATTTGTAGAAGTTGCGACATTGTGAATGGGAGATTCAGCAGGAGTCAAACGCAGGCTCTCTAATTCGAACAGCATGCGACATGAGTTGAGTCTACTATCTTATACCTCATCTTCTTCTTCTTCGATTGCGAGTTGTCTTGGTCCTTCATCTCCGGTTGCTGGAAGTTCGGTGATAGACATTGTTTGTTGAAAAAAAATACAGATTTTCTGTTAAGTCCCCAACGTGCTAGTTCTCTGTCGGCGTATATCAATGACAAACGTACTAATTATAATTTTCCGTCCTAAAAAACGTTCAGTTGATGTCGATTAAGTAAATTTCATTCGGAACATTACGAGGTTTTGTGTAGTGTGATAAGAACAAATATATTAGTACCGAATGTGATCTGTCATGGAGGAAGCAAAGGATGACACATGTGTGAGACGTCGACATGTTTTAAAGAATATCAAATTGTCATAGACATTTATTCCCCGAAAACGTCAATTTTATATGAGGACATCGTAACAAAGAAGTCTTGACTCTCCCACAATGGTAAAATGCTTAATACGCATAATGAAATCTTCAAATTATCGGACTAGCTCTGTCTAAAGCATTCAAAAGAGTTCTCAATTAAACGTCTACTACAAAATTTAATGAGCCAAATGCTTGTGATGGAATTAGAGCATAATTCACGTTTCAGTTTATCGTATAATTTTTGCAATAGGAGCCAGAAAATCTTGTTTCACGTATGTGTGCACCAGGACCAGTTCAATTTAAATTACCGGTTTATAATTTTCTTAAAGAAACCTGATAAATTGAAAAAGACAGAAAATAGTTGGAGAAAGTTTCTTTTATTATGTTGGTCTCGAAAACATGAAATAAAAACACAAGAATGATTAAAAGTTGCAGTCATTGAAATAGAAATATACAAAACGTGACTATAAATTCTCAATAGTAAACATTGCAACGGAATTCAAAGCTTGCATTATGATGGAAGCCATTTTTCACATTATATATTAAGCATCAACAAGCAAATATTTTTAGTCTGTCATTTTCACCCTTCTTCCTTGTGTGAAAGCACAAGGAAAAAGGTGAAATAACCAGGAAAACATGTTCCTATCGAGTGCCCTGCCCAGGAATTAAACCAGGGTCTCAGAGGTGATAATGACTGGCTCTACCAACTGAGCTAAAGAAGCATGCTCCATCAGCTGAGTAACAGAGACTGTATTGAACACTATAAACAAGCCACACTGACCCATTTCTTTTACACTATTTTTTTTAAGAGTCCGTAAATTTCAGCTAGAGACTTTTTAAAAACCACAACCCATTTCGTTGGCACCAATGTGATAGAACAGGAAAAAATGCATCCCATTTGAGTGCCTCACTCAGGAATTAACCTGGTTTTCCAGCGTGATAATCAATTGTCTCTACCAATTGAGCCAAAGAAGTAGGCTGTGTCAGCTGAGTGACAGAAACCATTTTTACTATAATGCTGTATACAAGCCACACTGACCTGCTCCTTTTACATTTGATCTTCTTTGTTCACAGATGTGCATATTTTAATTTTTGAACAGATTATAAACAGAAAAGAAGGGAAACAATCCATTTCATAAGGAATTAATAAGGATCATATGATAGTTGGCACCAAGATTCCTTTGGGATCTCTTAATTGTAACGAATTGTCTTGCATTACTGTCGGGTCAGCATGAAAAAAGACAATGCATGATTATTTATACCACATTGATATATGGTTGTTGTGTAAAAGAAAATGTTTGGTTGATGGCTCACATATTAAACTGTGATAATGACAAACTTATATGCCTGCAGAGTGTTTTATAAATTTCAAATCACATTACATAACCTTAAAGGTGACCAATTACACACCTCTTTTGTACTCACTTGACTGGAAATTATTCTGGAACCAAAGCACTTCCACTTAATCATAATTTGTAAAAATTGCATGACGCATACAGAGTTTTACCTAATACCAAATATTAAGTGGAACAGGTGACAAATGATGGCACTTAGTCATAACTTGCATAAATCCTTTTGTAAACAAAGGACCAACAGATTAGAGACTGAAGAAAAAAGGAAAATATTTAAAGAATAAAATGGGAGATGATAAATCTCTCACGAATGCCATTACTCATATTATGATACACATGACAATATGGAAGAATTTTCAAAATCAATTTTATACAAATTAAGTATACCCACAAATGTCTCTTGGTTTTCCCTTATTAGCAAATAAATTGTTTCTTGTTGTATCATTTCAGGCCTCAAGTAAAGAATCCCTTGGGGCATTGGAGAGTCTGATGAATGATTTTTTTGGACCTACTACTTCTAACGAAAGAAAGAGAGAAATAGGTAAAGAACACATAAAATATAGGTCTTTTATTCATTGTAAACTCACATTTCTCTTTGAAGTTTTCATTTTGGATTCAAATGCTCAATTTCATTATACTTTTTGTATGTTATGTAATTGATCAAATAGGAACTTGTAATAGATAAATACTTTTGGATATGCTTATGTTGTGATGGCTTTAAAGCGTTGTTGAGAACCTATAGTCATATTCTTTTTGTAACTTGTTTTTAGAGGAAATCCTGAATAACTTTACCCAGACAAAGGATTCTTGGCAACATTGTCTGTACTACCTAGGAAACACCAATAATGAATATGTGATGATGTTCTGTTTGACTGCTATTGAAGTAAGTAAACAACTAAAGGTCTTTAGTTAATTTCTTAAGAAAGAGGGAAGCAAATTTTCAGTGATATAAATGAACAACTCTGGCCCAACTGATCAGACTGATAAGCAAAAAATTAAGTCCTGATGTACATTTTACATTAAGGGAGATAACTCAAATTGTAAGTATTTTCTCTTTAGTGAAGAAAGTTGAAAAAAAGCTGAATATAAGGAACAACTTGCATTTTTCATTGTCAAAAACTGATATTTGAGAAAATACATCTACTTTCTAATTCATATGTGAGGCCATCTTCATCAAAGTAAAACTACTGTTTGTATAATTTCCACATGAAAATGTCACAATAGGTTTTTGTTGTACGGATAGTGTATATGTTATCCTGCTTATTTTTTGTTCCAGAATTTGATTCATAAGCAGTGGGTGGGGTTCCATGGACAAGCCAAGCTTGAAATACGTACCCGGTTGAACCAGTTCCTGCTTGACCACCACAATCATTGTCCCTCCTTCATCAAGTTTAAACTGGTCAAGCTTGTTGTGGACATTGGCCGTATAGATTGGCCACATTTCTATCCTGATTTCTTCAGTAGTATTTTGGAGGTAGGTATTGACATGTCAACCTCAGAAGTCTCATATCTGGCTTGGGATATACCATATTGATGGGGCTAATATTTTGGTGGTTTTCTGGATTGGCCAAGTTTCAAATGTCCATGAAAGGTTTAACTTTTCCTTTAGCAAATTTCTTTGTTTAGAAAATTACAAATATTTGAAACTTTTATAGAACTTGGGAAAGAAAAATAACACTTCAGATTAAGAACCTTTAAATACCTAACATACCCACAGCAAACCCAATCCTAAATTTTGAAAATATGAAATCAGATCTGCTTCTTAAACATTTTGTTGTACTAAATGCTATGAAGCTGCTGCACATTGGTTTGTTGTTTGATAGTTGGTGCAGCGTTCTGACACAACTATGCTAGGGATAATCCTGCTACATACAGCCTCTGAAGAACTCGCCTCACCCCGTGAGGATCTCAGCATGGACAGGAAGGAGGAACTGCATCGCCTCCTACTAGTACAAGTACCAACTATACTGGGAATCCTGAACAGTAAGTGTAAACATTAGGAATATCAGTACAATGATAGGAATTGGTATCATAGTAGACTTACCTGTATGGCGTAGGTGTGCGGTTTACTTGTATGTAGCCTAGGCTTCATTGTTGTATCCTGATGTCAAAACATGAAATAATTTATTGTAAATGCTGATGACTGTAATGTTAAGAGGAAGGTGTAATTACTGGGTAATATTTAATTGGTACTGTGTAATAAGTACCTGGTAAAGTGAGAAGGTCTCTCTCAGTTTGATTTCAGTTAGTCACAGTGTACATTTGGTAAGCAAACCTTTCACACATAGAAAATAAAAACAATGATTTTCATGTTCTTGATGACAGTAGCTCAAGCAAAGCAAGCCCTAAAAATAACATGTGCAAAGAAAAATATTATATAATTATATAATCTTCTGTGCTATCAGTCCCCCCAATCCTTATATTGTGCTTGAATGGGTGAAATATTTAGACTTGAATAGATGTTGCTATTGTGGTAACAAACTTTACAAGGACTATGCTTATTGTTATTAATGCTTATTAATTAATGGATTAGTAACCTCTTAACAGACTTAGTTAATGTTTACTCCAATAGTATTAAAGCATCGTTTTCAAATCTTTATTTCATTACTGTAGTCATTGATCAATGACACATTTGACAACATCTGCGAGTTCATTAAACAATGTTACTTACAACTAACACTTGTCTGTGGGAAATACATTAAGTCTGTAATTCCTGTATTCACGGAGGATGGGATCAACCATATTTCTGTCTTCATTAACTAGTTCAGTAACTACTATTTAATCATGATTGACAGCTACACTTGAAGCTATACTGGAGAAGCATCGACACCTTGTGGCTGCTACGCCCCCTCCCTCACCCACTCATGGTGGAGAGGAGACATCTTCACATAAATCCTCCTGGATGTTGTTCTCCTCGTCTCCAGCAGGTATGTCACCATCCAGTTCAAGAAGTAGTTGATGAATTGATGGCCTGAGAAAGTTTCCCGATAGCTTTTTTCCGGGGTGATTCTCTTCAATGATGTTTTTAACAGCATTAAAATATTTTCGCATCATTTATGGTTAAAGTACTGAAAATGATAGTTTCTGAAATACAGTACTAAGTGAAGTTTTCATTGTTTGATTAATCATGATCCCAAACAGTTGAAGTTATTCATGAATTGTGAATTATTCAGACAAACTCATCTGTTGAAATAAATGTACATGTAATTTTGTGGATTTGTTTGACGACCAATCTCAATCCTAAGATGAGAATCCTCAGCATACGCTTATATGAATAAGTGTCTGGCTGTTGCTATTATTTTAGAAAGTATCATAACTACCTCTCACTATTTTTGTTTATATTTTCTTTGTGTTGCTTTTTCAGCGGACAGTCTCCTTAGTAACATGTTTAAATCACCTGGAAATCGTGTTCAGTTAGAGGCATTACCTCCCTTGGATGACTCTTCAAAGGAAGTGTGTAGTCTAGCTCTACATTGCCTTGCAGAATATTTCAGTTGGATTCCACTGTCATCCACGATAACACCTTCTTTGCTCAGTACCATATTTCATTTCGCAGGATTTGGATGTGAAGCCAAAAAAGCTGTTAATTCAAATCGGACAACAAATTTTAGTTCAGACACGTCCTCTCTTGGGATTTGGGCGATGAACTGTATAAATGAGCTTTTATCAAAAAACTGTGTTCCTCGGGAGTTTGAAGACTATTTACTACAAATGTTCAGACAGACTTTTTATCTGTTACAAAAGCTTACCAAAGACAGTAGTACAAATGCTACAGGGAATAGACTATCAGAAATTGATGAAAGGTAAGTCATTACTGTGAATAGACTCAGAAATTGATGAGTCACTAAAAGGAATAGACTGACCGACATTGATGAAATGTAATTCATCACAGGAAAGAATCTGTCAGAAATTTTTAAAAAGTCTGACTTGTTGTCAACATGAATCCCTCTTGTCAGAATTTGACTGTTCAGCAACTGTCAGACTCTATCTGCTGTTGAAATTTCCTTCGGAAACCCTACTGTTTTCATATCATCGTTAAAAATACTTTATAACCATATGTAACATGGATGAGGTGAAATTTTTAAGATGTAAACTTAAAAAGTCTTCAAAAGAAAATCTAAAGAAAACTTTCTGTGTGAAATTACAACATATATGTGTCTATTTTAACATATTCACAAATTTTGTTTACAGTTACATTGAGAAATTTACAGATTTCTTAAAGTTGTTTGTGAGCGTTCATCTGCAGAGATTTGAAGCCAACATACAGTTTCCTGTTTTGGAATTTCTAGCCTTACTGCTCAAGTACACAGTTAGACAAGTAGGTCACTATTATTACCACTATCAATAGTGATATTAACAGGTTTGCTACATTTTATAAATCACTTCAAATGTCGGTCTTATATCAAAAGTCACATTCATTGTAAATCTTTTCAGCCAAAGAAAATGATACTGAGTTTTCAAAGATCTTCTGTTCCATGAGAAATGAAACATTAAGAGTACAGCCATTTTGACTGTAACAACATTGTAGAAGTTGTCCTTCATCTTGATGGTAGAAATTTTTGTTTTATCTGTTTTACAGCCAACATATGAAGGTTATTTCCACTGTCTAGACACCTGGAATACCTTTCTGGATTACTTACATACCAAGTTGAAGGAGAGAACCACAGACAGCAATCTACTTGTGGCCAGGTACATAATTCTATTTCTAACAAAAATACATTCCTCCAACAACCATGGATGATGTACCCTGAATCCTGAAATACCAATAGAACAAGTTTACTGATTACTCCAGCTCCTACAATCCATGCATACCAATTCCTCCAACACCCTTTTGACTAATTGTTCTGATCCCTCCAGCACCCATAGACCAAATGCCATGATTCCTCTAACACCAACAGACTTCCTCTAACACCTGCAGACTGAGTATCCCTATTCCTCTAACACCAACAGACTGAGTATCCCTATTCCTCTTAACACCTACAGACTGACTATCCCTATTCCTCTAACACCAACAGACTGAGTATCTCTATTCCTCTAACACCAACAGACTGAGTATCCCTATTCCTCTAACACCTACAGACTGAGTATCCTTATTCCTTTAACACCTACAGACTGAGTATCCCTATTCCTCTAACACCAACAGACTGAGTATCCCTATTCCTCTAACACTTACAGACTAAGTATCCCTATTCCTCTAATACCAACAGACTGAGTATCCCTATTCCTCTAACACCTACAGACTGAGTATCCCTATTCCTCTAACACCTACAGACTGAGTATCCCTATTCCTCTAACACCTACAGACTGAGTATTCCTATTCCTTTAACACCTACAGACTGAGTATCTCTATTCCTCTAACACCAACAGACTGAGTATCCCTATTCCTTTAACACCTACAGACTGAGTATCCCTATTCCTCTAACACCTACAGACTGAATATTCAGATTCCTCCAACACCCATAGACCATGTATCTTGATTATTGCAGCACCTATAAACCTTATTCCAAATCTCCAAACACCCAAAGACCAAATATTTCAGTTCTTCCAACACCCATAGACTAAGTGTCCTGATACCACTAACACCCATAGACAAAGTGTCCTGATACCTCTTACACCCATAGACTAAGTGTCCTGATACCTCTTACACCCATAGACTAAGTGTCCTGATACCTATAACACCCATAGACTAAGTGTCCTGATACCTATAACACCCATAGACTAAGTGTCCTGATACCTATAACACCCTACCACAGAAGTACAGCCATCACAAAATTACAACAAAGCCTGTCAACTTATTTATATGTTATTGTCTGTTCTGTAAAATTATCATGACTTCCTTCGTTACTACTAACTCATCACAGTATAGATATATCTGCACTACAACAAAAGCATATCTTCTGCATGAGAAAATGATTCTTTGTTGGATGTTGGAGAGAATTTGTTAAGATTAAGGAATGTATCTATGTCTGTCCAGATACCAGGAGGCACTACTGTCCCTCGTGTCCCACATTCTTCAGAAGTTACAGTTTCGCTTTAACCAGTCACAGCTCGAGGAACTGGATGATGAAATTCTGGATGATGATGTAAGTGTGTTTTATGTACAACTTACATACTGTTTGTTATATAATCCCTATGAACTAAAACATTTGCAGAAACCTCTGTTTTATTCCTGGCCTTTAATGTGAGAAAAAGGTTAACAAACTCTAGCTTTGAAGGTTTCATAGATCAGATATTGAGTTTTATTCTGGATTCATCGCCTTAAATTTTTCAAGATTTCTGAGATAAATGAGTGCTGAATCCTTTATTTACACATCTTTTTTTTCAAACTTGTCATTTGAATTGTAGCAGAACATGGTTTTGATTCAGTTGATGATAAAAGACATAAGATATGATTAAAAATGTTCAATTCACAGTCACACAACCGCTTGATGTTTGTTCTAGATCTCCATTTTGCAGTAGAACAGTAGTACATGTTGAATTTAAGGTGTTATTTCTATAAGAAATCCACTTCACTCTAGAACATTAATATGAAAATTAAATTTGATGACAAAATTATTTCACAACAGATATTAATAGCACTCTGAGCACTAAGTCCCTTATATTGAAATTACATACCGGGGTATTTCTGTAAATGGATGCAAATTTCTTCTGACAGTCTGAAACAGAATGGCAGCACTTTCTAAGGCAAAGTTTGGAGGTGGTTGCGAAGGTTGCAGAAATTCTCACAGCAGATGTTTTCAGGTTACTTGTAAGTTCCCTAATTAAGGTGTGCTCAACATGGAAATAAATAGTTATAAAACATCATAAATTTAACATACCATAAGAAAAAAAGTTAAGAAGCTAACTTCCTAAGTTTGTGTTTTTCTGTAAATAATTTGAAGAAATTGATGTTTTCTCCTGTCAAATAAGCTATCTTAACTTGTTAAAATAAAATTATTATTTTTCATAGAAGTTTGAGAAAGGTTCCAATAATACACAACCTTTACTAGAACTGTACTGCATTATTTAGTATGAACCATTCCGGGAACATCTGGAGATCTACCTCGGACTGGAACGCTACTTAACAAGTGGTGGCCAAGGACGACATCTGACAATAACAGCAGAGAATGAGTGTCGCCGCCTGCACTGCTCTCTCCGCGACTTATCTTCTTTGCTACAGGCACTTGGCAGGCTGGCAGAGCACTTCATCGGGGAGAAATTCCCAGAGCGATTCGCTGATGGGACAATGCTGATAACAAGGTGTCTATTGCTTTTAAAGATCTCTGTTGTAATAATGGCCTGTAGAGATTTACATTTTGTTTTTTTATGTACTTACCTATAATCTTTCCATAACCTCTATCATTTAATCATAATCCCCAGGCCCACTAATCTTGTTTGCGTCTCGCATTCAAAGTTACTTCCTTGTAGACATCTCCTTCGGCTAGGTGTTATCTTATCAGTAGATTAAAGAAACTGCTGTTAGCAATGAAACTGAACTAAGGAGAAACATGTATTAATGATTAAATTGTCATTGATTTTAACTTCAGGTTGATCCATACTGTTGTGTATGGTACAAAAACACGCCTGTTTGAGGTGACATCCAGTGTACAGAATGTCCTTCATACAGACTTCATTGGAGTGTAAGTAATGAGTTGGTGAACAACAAACTGGCCTCAATTCTTCACACTAACATGTTTACAATGTACATGATTCTTTGGTGATTTTGTGTCAGAAAAATATTGTCACTGTTGCTTTGAATCAATGTCATTCATTAATTTCCTGGGAGGTATATTTTATACATTTATTAACACTCATGTGTACCTCAGTGAAAATGGTTCTGACAGGAATTACAGATTATGTATCACAGAGATGTAAACATCAGGACCGTGACGATTACCACACATAGTTTGCTATGACTCTGTATATGTTAAGTGTATAAGAAATTTAGGTGAGAGAACCCTTGGACCTCCAGCTATTATATTTTGCAGGCATGCCCAGGCTATTGCGTCAATGAAGGCTTATGCCCATTGGTTAGGTCAGTATCATAGCGAGTCCCAGCGTGTACAGGAGGAGAAGGAGAAGTTTGCCACACTTCTTTCTTCACTACTCGACTCTCTCATACCTCTCATCACTAAGGAGGTAAGTCATTATTATTTCTTACCGCATTTTTATTTTCATATAAAATAGATGAACGTTTTTCTTTCGTTTCTTAACTAACTTTATGAAGACTTTAGCACCTTACACTCAGAATTTTTTTGGCTAACATAATGATTGGTAGTGATTGGTATTTTCCCTTGATGTCTTCCCTCCACTTAATACACGTGGTGTTTAGAAATCTGTTCTTCCCTGTGACTCTTTGGGATCGTGATATCTCAGTTGGTCGAGTGTTGGTGTGTGGTTTGACAAGCCATATTTGTATTGGTCTGGTAGCAGAGGATTCAACCAACCTGTGCTGTTGTAGTTGTGTACTAGGGTAAGACATCCCACTACATTTGCTGTGAATATCATGTCCTTTGTTAGTCACCAGTTTCTACTAGGAGACCTTGCCTCTAAATGATCTTAGTTGTTGAGGATAAACCCAACAAGAAAGAAACCTTTATCATGTGATACTTTATTACCTACAGACTTAGTTTATATACACACCATCAAATAGTTTATATACACACCATCAAATAGTTTATATACACACCATCAAATAGTTCGTGTACACACCATCAAATAGTTTATATACACACCATCAAATAGTTTATATACACACCATCAGTTAGACACCATCAAATAGTTTACATACCATCAAATAGTTACATCAAATTAGTTTATATACACACCATCAAATAGTTTATATACACACCATCAAATAGTTTATATACACACCATCAAATAGTTTATATACACACCATCAAATAGTTTATATACACACCATCAAATAGTTTATATACACACCATCAAATAGTTTATATACACACCATCAAATAGTTTATATACACACCATCAAATAGTTTATATACACACCATCAAATAGTTACATCAGATTAGTTTATATACACACCATCAAATAGTTTATATACACACCATCAAATAGACACCATCAAATAGTTTATATACACACCATCAAATAGTTTATATACACACCATCAAATAGTTACATCAGATTAGTTTATATACACACCATCAAATAGTTACGTCATATTCTATACCTGATTCAATTCTGTATGTCATCAGTCAAGGGTAAAAGGTCAAAAGACACCAGTTTGCCGCTATGGGTGGTTAGTGAAACAACACAAGCCCTGCTCACTTGATATATGTTTCATTTGAATATGAAGTACTTTCTAACTCATGTTCAGCTGAACCTATAGCTATTTTAAATGAACTGTGTTATGAACAGAGGTTTAGAGACGTTGTTTCTCAAATATTGAAAATAAAAAAGGATGCTGCCCATATGATGGACAGGGACTCTAACACACGAGTTTCATTCCATATTTTTTCACTCTCACTCATTCAGCTGAAAAGTTTTTCATTCATCTTTTAGATCTTGTAAGAAAAGAGGACTCCTATAGTTTTTAGGATATTAGTATCCATACGTTATTAACAGACTGATTAACACTTTTTTCAGACACCAGAGAAAATCATCCACTCTGCTGTCCACTTGGTGTTATCCATATCCACTACAGTTCGGCCACGATTCCTCCTTCAACTGACCGGTATCCAGTCCATGTTCCAGGTGGCAAGTCATGGAGGCTACGACCACCTGTCTAATGAGGTAGTCATAACCGTCATTAGTATTTCAGTAGGGTACAGGTCAATGAATCCCTGAAACTATGTTGTTAGGGTAACCTTCAGTAAAATTAGATTTCTAACTAAGATATGTTATTACCTGCTGTAAATTAATGACCTCAGCTTTCCTGATTAATCCTGACCTCCTGTATGACCTTTGTTACAGGTCCAGCTGTTACTGTACCGATCGTTAAGTAATTGCCTCCTGTTGGCATGGCCTAACTTACCAGATGGAGAACAGGATTGGGGCAGCCGTGCTGCACACCATGTCACCTTTGTAGGTCAGCTGTCACGTAACTTCCTTCAGCTCAAACCCAGGGTAGCTGTGCTGGCTGCTGACAAAGCCCTACAAGAGGAAGGTGAGTAGCTATTCAACAAGGCCACTCAAGGCTCTACAGGAAAAAAATGAATAGCCAACACATTGGTTATTTGACTGCTTTTGTTATCAATTCTGAAAAAATTCCATCTTCCTGTTTGTGTATCAGTCATTGGCACTAACGAGTGAATTAACTTATATTGAATACACGAACATCATATGTTTTACACAGGCTGCACAGATAATGAATTACTTGTACTCTGAAGTCAGGATCATCATTCATGCTCAGCCTACCTTCATTCATGTAAAAATATTTTTTCCTTAAAATTTAAGTAAGGACACTTGTAATTCTCATGCTGTGTTGTCACAGCCTTAGAGCCAGATGTTGCTATATCGAGGGTACAGCTAAAATTATCACTAACTTCCTAAGTGATTAGCTTAAATATTTTTGTTTGACAGCTAAGCCAATCATCAAAAAGATACTACACATTTTTGAGGACTGGATTGAGGCTATAGCAGGAGAAGTGGTACGAAGTAAACAGCTGTGTTACCAGTCACTACAGGAAGTTATCCAAGTAGCGTTGTTGGTGTTCCCTGTCTATCTTCAACAGCCAGGTCAGATTCACAAAATCATCAATAAGGGTTTAAAATTCTCTTTAAATCAATGAGTTTTTACTTTATAAGAGGAGAGATTTGCTTGGTTGTTGTTTTCTGTAAACATGTTAATACTGTTGATTTTGCTTCAGGTTTTTGCAAGTTTACCTTATTTGGCTTGTTATATTGCTGACCATATATCTCATTTATACATTTTTTGCAGATTTATCAGTCAAACACCAACATGATTCAATGATGATTAATGATGATTAATACATAAAAACACAGCTATTTTGGTAAATGTAACATAATCTGTATCACTTACTACTTAACCTTTTCCACACAAATGTAGATTGTGGAATTCTTAGATAATAAGACAAAGCCAAGGTACAGATATGTCAGTATTCTTTATTTACAGTTTTATGATATCTCTGATAAAATTTGTAAATGTGTTGTACTATTTAATGAATCAGTTGTTAGGGATCATGTTAAATCCCAACCCAATAGTGACGATTTGGTAGGTATTTGCCAGATGGCAGAATTTGTTAATTACTGAAATTTATATGTAATATTTATAAGCATCTAATTACATACAAATTTTGTTTCAGATGTCATCGATAATTTCATGAGTTTTTTCTTGGCATTATTCCAAGGATTGAGAGTCCAGATGGGGGTGCCATTTACAGAACAAACAATTCAGACATTTATGGGACTGTTCACAAGGTACTAGATGTTTTCATAAAAACCTAGAAATTAACTCATGTCTAACATTATCTACCAAGAGCAATTATAACAATATAAGGGTGCTTCAGAAACACTTTTTACTGTTACAATATCAGGATCTTTTAGAAACACCATTTATCATTACAATATCAGGGTGCTTTGGAAACGCTTTTTATTGTTACGATATCAGGATGTTTTAGAAACACCATTTATCATTACAATATCAGGGTGCTTTAGAAACACTTTTTATTATTACAATATCAGGATACATAAATATATAAAACGATACCCAAGACCTTTTACAGTATCTCACGGCTTCCATACTTTTCCAAACATGCACACATTCTCACCTGAGTATTCTAAATGTCAATAATATATGTATAAGTTATAATAACTGCCTCAATATATAGACTTGGACACACTAAAGATATTCCTAGCTAATAACAACAACAACATTAACGCATATCCACCCTAATTTAGCATAACATATCATAATAACACTGCTACGCTTGGCTGAGCCGCACGACCTAAACAGATGTTTACCAACGATATTTAATAAGAAACGGGCAAAGAAACAGTAAGACATAGGAAAAATCATAAAGATAGACTTACCACAGTCTGTAATCTGTGCCTGTTTATCCTACATAGCCGCTATTGCCAATAGAATTGGGTAAATAACCTGTAAACAACAGCTTGGGAATTCACGCACCTGCCATAAATTCCCACTCACCTGGTCACCTCACAAGATACGGTGGCCCGACAGGAACGACGAAAACACCGAACATACACAAACAATAAATATATACATACGACGTGACATTATGAACATTTATAAGCTATAAAATGGGAAACATATCCAGTTTCAATGTAAGCACCCTGCAACTTCATATTTGAACAGATTTTGGTAAAACTTTATACAACTGTTAGTTATGAGTATACTTTGAACATTGTTGTGTTTCAGGGGCAAAAGGTCAAGGCCAAGGTCAACTTTGCTATATATAGGCCTTGTATTTACGCATATTTCATGGTATCAAGATCATAGTGGTTATATAATTTTATAGAACACTGAAACTTATTTCACTTGGTTCTTTATATCACTTTATATCTTACTGACATTTGCTTTTTTATCATTTCAGTATCAGAGTGTTTTACAAACACCTTTTATCATAAGGGAATGTGTAAACAAATTAGACAGAAATTAATTTACTTAAGTTAGGTAAATGAGATTAAAACAGTACCTGGCAGTTTAAAAAATTTCTAACTTTCCACATTTTATCATTAATTTATCTTATTAATTCTAGAAAAGAAATGTGTTAACTTAAGCTGTATGTTTTCTTTATTCAGGCAACAGTTGGCAGAGACAATCAGTCATGGTAGCAATGCAGCTCAGCGAGTTATAGAAAAGTAAGCTGATTAATTAGTATACATAGATGAATATTTTCAGTATGTTTTAAAATGTTTGTGTAATGCAAGCTTTTTCATCGAAAGAGCTCAAAAAGAAATTTCAATTTTTTTAACCAATTCCGGTTTACTCCATATTTGGATTGGCTTTTTTTTTTATTGAGTTTTTCCTTCACAAATGTAAAAAGAAAATTTAACAATTTTCCTGTAGCTATCATAAATTTCACCTGCATGGCAGAATATATCTGTACTTTTCACTCATACATCACACTTTTAAAAAACATAGATAATCTGTGATGGGGATGACAACTGTAAATAGGTTTATTGTTACAGCAGTTATCATCATATAAATGGTGAATAGAATTTAATCAGGATACTGAGATTTTTTTTTAATGAGTAATAATGCTACTATCCAATAATTAGTATCAGTAGATAATCTTATGAGTTAGTTGCTATTTACACTCTTTAACAAGGATTATCTACACAAACTAACATGTTGATTACTTGTTTACAGATTTTTGAAGATTCTAGAGCTGATTGTACAGGAGCCAGGCTCAGCATTCAAAGCGTTCTTACCAAATGTTATATCTATTTGTATGGATCATGTATATCCTATTATAGCACAGGTAAGTCTGTCAAAAAGGTATATATATCATAGCACAGGTAAGTCAGACAACAATGTGTATCTATCATAGCACAGGTAAGTCTGTCAACAATGTATATATATATCATAGCACAGTTAAGTCTGTCAACAATGTGCACAGGCAAGTCTGTCAACAATGTGTATAGATCATAGCACAGGTAAGTCTGTAAACAGTGTATATATATCATTGCACAGGTAAGTCTGTCAACAATGTATCTATATCATAGCACAGGTAAGTCTGTCAACAATGTATATATATCATAGCACAGGCAAGTCTGTAAACAATGTGTAAATATCATAGCACGGGTAAGTCTGTCAACAATGTATATATATCATAGCACAGGTAAGTCTGTTGACAATGTGTATATATCATAGCACAGGTAAGTCTGTCAACAATGTGTATATATCATAGCACAGGTAAGTCTGTTGACAATGTGTATATATCATAGCACAGGTAAGTCTGTTGACAATGTGTATATATCATAGCACAGGTAAGTCTGTAAACAATGTGTATATATCATAGCACAGGTAAGTCTGTCAACAATGTGTATATATCATAGCACAGGTCAGTCTGTAAACAATGTATATATATCATAGCACAGGTAAGTCTGTCAACAATGTGTATATATCATAGCACAGGTAAGTGTGTCAACAATGTGTATATATCATAGCACAGGTAAGTCTGTTGACAATGTGTATATATCATAGCACAGGTAAGTCTGTAAACAATGTGTATATATCATATCACAGGTAAGTCTGTCAACAATGTGTATATATCATAGCACAGGTCAGTCTGTAAACAATGTATATATATCATAGCACAGGTAAGTCTGTCAGCAATTTGTATATATCATAGCACAGGTAAGTGTGTCAACAATGTGTATATATCATAGCACAGGTAAGTGTGTCAACAATGTGTATATATCATAGCACAGGTAAGTCTGTCAATAATTTGTATATATCATAGCACAGGTAAGTCTGTCAATAATTTGTATATATCATAGCACAGGTAAGTCTGTAAACATAGTCTCTTGGACACCTTGATAGAACACATTAACAATATCTTACTGTTCCATAATATTCTACTGATCCTTAACCTTTTTTACCCAAGTGCTTGCCATTGCTTATGGAAATGTTTATTTATTTAATCATAACTTGCCAAGATTTTCTGAAACAAAATTGTTTTTATCTTGGAAAAAATATGTGTGCAGAAATATCTCTATCTTACTAAGGAAATGTGTGTATTAGCATCCCAAGGAAGAATGGGTTGGCAACCAGTACATGTTAATCTTTTTCACTGAAAACATATAACATCAGTATCATGTAGATTGTCAGTAGCAACACAACTGATATTCACATCATAACACTATATAAAACAATAGTTTATTATACATTATTGTTTTTTCCAGCGTCCAACTCCCGATATCAAACAAGGGCTGTATGAATTGTTACACACTTTGTTGATGAATAATTGGCGACATTTCTTCAAAGGGTCAGTTTTGACTATGCTTCAGTCCAAGACTGAGGAAGTTGAGAATGCTGGCCAATTTACTCTAATAATGCAGGTAAGCCATTCCTGTCTCACCTTGATGTTAGGGATTAGAGATTTTGTTTCCAGTCAGATATACAACTATAAAAAAATCCCACTCTCTCCTACAGGGAAACTTAGGTGTTTACTACTGCATCCTAAAATGAAGGTTATATAACATATTTTTAATTGACTTATTGAAGCTCTACAGATGTGATAAACTCAGATAAATGGCTATGTTTTGTCTGATTGAAGCTCTACAGATGTGACAAACTCAGATAAATGGCTATGTTATGTCTGATTATAGCTCTACAGATGTGATAAACTCAGGTAAATGGCTGTGTAATGTCTGATTGTAGCTCTAAAGATATGACAAACTCAAATAAATGGCTGTTTAATGCCTTATAATGTCTGATTGATTGTAGTCATATGGACAGTCGTTCCTGCAGTCAGATATAGAAGTTTTCAGACAGAACCTCAACTCTCTCCAACAACTCAACTCAAAGTGGAAGCTGTACCAGAAGGTTGGTTTAGAAATACTTGCCAGTTTTGCTTTCGATATTTAATTCCACACAGAATTATTTTGTAGTGTTAATTTATCCTATATCAATGATACTATCAGAAAACTACAGGATTTTGCAGATTCTTGCTTATTGCTTCTTTAAAAGTCAAAGTTCTAAATTTATTTATAAAAGATTTGTCTAGTATCATCTTAGTATACCCATGGTATTTACTATCTATGCATCTTCTAGTAATCAAGATATGTACACAACACAATCAGGATATATACACATTACAATTAGGTGTCTGGGATACATACACAACACAATCAAGATATATACACATCACAATTAGGTGTCTAGGATACATACACAACACAATCAGGATATATACACAACACAATCAGGATATATACACAACACAATCAGGATATATACACATCACAATTAGGTGTCTAGGATACATACACAACACAATCAGGATATATACACAACACAATCAGGATATATACACAACACAATTAGGTGTCTAGGATACATACACAACACAATCAGGATATATACACAACACAATCAGGATATATACACAACACAATTAGGTGTCTGGGATACATACACAACACAATCAGGATATATACACATCACAATTAGGTGTCTAGGATACATACACAACACAATCAGGATATATACACAACACAATCAGGATATATACACATCACAATTAGGTGTCTAGGATACATACACAACACAATCAGGATATATACACATCACAATCAGGATATATACACAACACAATCAGGATATATACACATCACAATTAGGTGTCTAGGATATATACACAACACAATCAGGATATATACACATCACAATTAGGTGTCTAGGATACATACACAACACAATCAGGATATATACACATCATAATTAGGTGTCTAGGATACATACACAACACAATCAGGATATATACACATCATAATTAGGTGTCTAGGATACATACACAACACAATCATGATATATACACATCATAATTAGGTGTCTAGGATACATACACAACACAATCAGGATATATACACATCATAATTAGGTGTCTAGGATACATACACAACACAATCAGGATATATACACATCACAATTAGGAGGCTGGGATACATACAATGTACACAACACATCAGGATGCTGGGATACACACAAACCTCAATTAGGAGTTTGGGAAAGCCAATTATTCAACCCAGATAATATACTTTCTAATATTAGCAAGTTAAGTAGTGACTGTTCATATGGTTTATGCATTGTATTTATCATGCATTTCAGCCAATCTTTAAAGATGTGATGCTGTTCCAATTTATAAGTGTGCTCCTTCAAGTTCTACTCCACAAGTCACATGACCTGCTCCAGGAGGAGATCGTTATGACAATATATAACATGGCATCAGTAGATTTTGAGAAATTCTATGCAGAATTCTTACCACAATTTGTTGGGGACTATGATGGTGTGGATAATAACCAGAAGACTATATTAGGCCAAAATTTCAGGCTTGATCAGGTATGGTAGAAATATTTAATTAAAACAACATCATAAATATAGATACTTAATACCTGTACTTCTTCCCTGTACCACCAACTCCTCGTGATTGATGTATAGGTTACCATGTACCATTTCTTATCATTATTTCTCATTTATTTCAGGACTTGCCATCATTTACACAGAGTGTCCAGCGCCTTGTGAATGATCTTCGTTTCTACAGACTTGTAAACAGCAGTTTACCTGAGGGTTCTGTTAAATTCTAATTTCGGTTTTATCTGTCGACAGTGGAAACTAATGTACCCCCACACTGAACAGCTATGCTCTGTTAAACAACTCCAGGCCCCACACTGTACAACCATACACTGTTAAACAACTCCATGCCCCACACTGTACAACCATACACTGTTTACTAACTCCAGGCCCTACACTGTACAACCATACACTGTTAAACAACTCCAGGCCCCACACTGTACAACCATACACTGTTAAACAACTCCAGGCCCCACACTGTACAACCATACACTGTTAAACAACTCCAGGCCCCACACTGAACAACCATACACTATTTACAAACTTCAGTCCACATACTGTATCATCATACTCACTATACCAAATTCTGGCACAGATTATATGGATAAAAACACCATCAAGATCATAGATTTAAATGGAAATATTTTTGCTAGTTGTTTTTCTTCAGAAAAGTTCTGTATACAGAAGACCTTAGTTGGTTCAAACACCTTTGTATCCTGACAGATTTATCCTGATTTTTTTAACTGCGAGGATTGAAAGGTTACGTCCCTTTTATCACACAACAATCAAGAAGTCTGTTTGATTTATATGAGGTTAATATTTGATGTTTATACTACTTATATAATGAGCCATTAACTCTCCCTAATTGAAGCCAAGCTTGACATTGGTCGATTTTACTTACATATGGTTTACTTAACCAGCTCATGAACTGTATGATTTACCTCACACCTTTACTTTAGTAGGAAAAGATATTCTGATATTCCGCTAGTATTTTAATGTAAGAGGGATGTAAGGAATTATGTTTCGAACCCAGTTTATTCAATTATCTTGATTATCATTTATTTCTCATTATTGATCAATGACAATGCATTGATAATACACCAAATCACAAAAAATTATAAGCACTGTGAGTTTTTGTAACGTGTCAATTTAGATACCAAAAAATAGAAAAGTGTGTAATTTTTGTTTATTGATTGTCAGCAGGTTGACGATTTGTGACAGTATTATTGTATATATAGACTAATGAAAAATTTCTTTGTAAGATCATTGTATGTATTGCATGTATTTAAAATCTGTCATCAAGTTTCAAGTAAGTTTATGTCATGGCGTAGCGACATGTGTCAATACATTCATGCATCCATTTGTTATCTTTCTGTAGGATATGTAACATCCTCAGGAGAGAACAATCCCGAGTAGAGAAGGTGGGGACTCCTTCTTGAATTTTTGGGTTTGCTTTTAATTCTTTTCCTTAACACTGATTGATATTCTCACTTAACATGGTCTGAAACAATCAAAGAGGCAGTGCAGTCATATTTTGTATAAATCAAGTTGTTGGATTCCTGTTTGGGCCAAAAATGTGATTTCAGAAGTTGTGCTTTGGGACAGCCCTTTTCGTAAATACCATGGCCTGTTTTTGTATGGTATAGTCACATGGGGTTTGGGGCAAGGAAGTGCAGAAGTGAAATGCAAGATAATTTATTACAAAAAACCTTATTCAATATACACCACATAACTACAATGAAATCTGGTAAAATATTAATGATCATTGATATTTTAGTGTAATCTTACTTTGGCACCTTTCATGCTGAAATTTTTGTACCAACATATGATTGCAGTAGATGCCGTTTCCATGTGCTGCTTACATAGTAATTATTGTTACCGTGCTATGTGCCAAAAAGTGACAATGTGCTAACATTTGATTGTGCTATATGAAGTACATTTTAAGATGATGCTACCCAAATTTGAACACTTTTTGAAGAAATTAAAAATATTTCTACTGAAAAATTCTGTTCGTCTATAAAAAATTTCTTCCTTTTATTGATGTTAAGCTATTTTTTTTAGTATATTTAGTCACTTGTCCATCAAAAAATATTCATCTCAGCAATACTTTTCTTTGTCTAAAACATCATTGTATATTTGTATTCTCCTGTGACTTTATTTCCAATGTTTTTTTTTTCAAAATACCTTACATTTTGTTTAGAATTACTATTCACTTTTATTGCATAAAGAAAATGCTGTGGCAAATGTTTGAAAAGTGTTCCATTTTGAGTAGTATCCTGTTAAAGTAATTTAATCTTGCTAAACCCACATATCTAATTTTTGGGTGGGGGGAGGGCATTTTTAATGTTTTTATTCTATTGAGTTAACACATGTTTACTTCTCATGCCTTATTAAATTCCAATTACGTCAGACAACTTTTAGACATGCTACCAAACATGGAACCATTTTGCACACTGAAATATATGCAACTGGATAAAAATATTGTGATCATTAGTCTGATCAAACCTTGTGAATGTTAAAGGGCCATATGGGCCTTATGTTAATGTGTTTTGGTAAGCTTGTCTGGCCTGAAGGGCCAAGAAAGGATATAGCATACTGCAGTGTCCTTTGTCCATCCCTCTGTCAACTTTATCTACAAATTGCTACTAGTCATAAAAAAGTGAGCAGATTTTGACCTAATTGGGTCATAAGCATCCATTGGGAAAGGGGAATCAATTTAGTATAAATGATGGATCCCAGCCCCCAGGGGGCTGAGGTGCAGGCCCATAGGAAAAACTTACCAGCCCTTTAAAATCCTACTACTCCTGTAGAAGAGATTGGATTTTGCCTTAATTTGGTATGAAACATTCTGTGGTAAAGGAGAATAAATTTTACATAAACCATGACTCTTGCACCCCCCCTGGGGCAGGAGGGATAGGGTCCATTAGATTAAATAGAGCAAATTCTTTAAAATTCTAATCCTCCAGTTCTGAAGTATTCTTTGGTGAAGTTGAATCAATCTTGTAAAAACGGTGGGTCTCAGCCATCTGAGGAGGGAGGGGCAGGGCCCATAGGAAAATGAGCAAATTATTTAAAATCCTTTTTGTGTAGGCATGTCAGGATTCTGTCCTAATTCTTGGATTAAAGAAATCAATTTGGTATAAACATTGGGTCTCAACTCCTTGGGGCAGAAGGGGTGTGTGACAATAGGGAAAATGGAGCAAATTCTTTGAAATTGTTCTTATTCTTTAAGAATGATGAATTTATGCCCCAATATGGTCTGAAGAATCCAAGGGTGAATGGAAGTTTATGTTGTGTATTCCGTGCATCTGATCTCCGTTTGGCAGAGGAGTGGGGACTAATAGGGGAAATAGATGTAAATCTGTTAATTGCTTTTCATTTAGTTTAGATGAAGCAATTTCAGCAAACTGAACGAGGTGATCGATACAGGTCCCATTGGCCTCTTATTGAGTGTCCTTTTTGTAAATGACATTCATAATACTCTGATATTTTTGGTATGATACTGAATTGATATTTGCCTACAGGATTGGTGTTTCTTCACAATGGTGCTAGGAAATTCTGTTAAACCCATGGATTCAGACGGCTGGCACATGTTCTTGAACAAGTCATATGACTGCATTACATAGAATACAGTGTGACTGGCTATTTCACCGCAGATTTATCAAATTCACAGACAGAAAGATATTTAATCACCCTGTGTGATGTTAACACAGAAATTTGGCTATAGAGAAGATTATCAGCTCTTCCAGTGAAATATCAGAAAAACCCTGTCATGACTGGATATCTGTCTGTCTATCCCAATATATATGTATACAAACAGTATCCCTTTAAGCTACTTTGTCATGATCCTGACTCCAATTTGGACCTATGCAACATTCAAGATGGCTGCCACTTCTTCTAAGAGAGGACTACATAAAAAAGCTTATAAAAAGGTCTCAAGTAACCATATAATGAAACAAATGTTGGACACTAATAGAGCATAAGGAATCATCGTTGAGTGTCTAAAAATGGTCAAAAACTACAGTATGGAGGATTGAAAATCACAGACACATTATCAGAATATTTTGTTGTAAAGCTGAGTGTGAAACATTTTGTTATCAGTGCTGTAATAGGAAATCTTTAATATTTTAATATATCTGATGTAGGTTCATTGATCCTTTGTAAAAGGACATCATTGAACACCAAGCCTATAATGGTTTTGTTATCTTGATGTCATGGTGCTGTTTTCTATGTTATGTAAGTCATCAACAAGAGCTACATCTGTAATATTGAATAAACATTGTGCAGATTAAACATGTACAGAAGATATACAGTGTGTGTGGTGATTGTTAAGTTTCTGGATTGCTTTTGAAAACAAACTCAAAAGATCGGACATAAATACTCAACTAGGTAACACAGGCCATGCTATGTCCCTGTGACCTGCTCTTTATATATAATGATATTACATCGGGAGGTATGAATTCCATTCCACCAGTCACTCTGATATTATGATGTAGACCATCTGTTACTGTTGATATTTTTGAGTATGGTTTGGTATCATTCGCAAATAAATGGATTACATAATCAATAACTTTGTTATATAATTTATAATGGGATTATATATAGATGTGAGAGTTATTTATAGAATTGGAAAACTTCGCCAATGATAAATAAACAGGAAAATAAAATATGGAATATGAAAACTCCTCTACAAGTAAAATACACCAAGAGAGTGAGGGCTAGCTTGTATATGGAGTACAAAGTTTCTGGTTGTTCTTTGAACAATTTTGTTTCCATGCTCTAAAAATCATGAAAATTTGTGATTTGTCTGTTTCTAATCGGTTTCCACACTACCAAGAAAAAAAATAGAACTCTACCACCACTTAAGTATTAGGATGATAAGTGGACAAAGAGTTTCAGTTATTTTGCATAGTTTTGACATATTACTTTTGAAGCAGCAAAATTTGTGCTTTTGCCTGTTTTCATGGTAACGAAATATATATATAAAACAAAATATTAACATGACAACTAAAATTCGAAAATCACAATTGTGTTTGGAATTTTAGTTGCCATGTTAATATTTTTAGGTCACCAGCCGAAGACTCATGGTGATCTATTGCCATCATGATTTGTCTGTCGTCATGCTTCATGCGTCGTTAACTTTTCACATATTCCACTTCTTCTCAAGAACCACTGAATGGATTTTGACCAAATTTGGCACAAAGCATTCCCATGGGAAGCCGCTTCAAGTTTGCGAAGAAAAAGGGCATGGCCCCAATAGGGGCCCCAGGAGCCAGGGTAAAATTAGGTAAATCTTTAAAAATCTTCTCATGAACCAAAAGTCAGATTAAGTTCATATTTGATATTTAGGGTCCTTATGGCAAGGTCTACAAAGTTTGTGAATGAAAAAAAATCGGGTCAAAAACGGCCCCACTAGGGGGCGCTCAAAAGGGTAAAAAATTCAACCAAATTTAGCAGAAAGCATCCCTTAGTGAAGGACATATGAAATTATGTTGAAAAAAGTGATTATGTCCCCTTTGGGGCCAATAAGGGGTGTAAAAGGGGCCATATGTAAAAACCTTTAAATGACTTCTTCTCAAGAACCAGTGGATGGATTTTGACCAAACTTGGCACAAAGCACCCCCATGGTAAGCCGCTTCAAGTTTGTGGAGAAAAAGGGTGTGGCCCCAATAGGGGGAAAAAGGGGGTAAAATTAGGTAAATCTTTAAAAATCTTCTCGTGAACCAACAGTCCTTGATACGAATGTTCTACACAAGGTCCTGGCAAGTGTTTTAACTTTTTGGGGCGATTCAAAATCCAAGATGGCCACCCTGGCCTCTGTTTGGCTAAGACATTTTGGACTTCCTCTCAAGAACCACTGGGTGGCTCATGTTCAAACTTGGTACAGATGTTTTACACACGGTCCTGCACAAGTGTTGTTACATTTTTGCAACATTTTAAAATCCCCAGATTATTGACATATATTCCTCAGGTGACCGTTAAGGCCCCTTAGGCCTCTTCTTAATTCAATATTTATATATACGATACAGAAAGTGTTTCTCTTATTTGAATATAAATATATATCTATGTATCTGGAACATTGATTACTCCCCCATAGCAAAAAGTACTACAAGATTGCAGGCTTGAGATAGCACCAAGAGGGAAATTACATGAAAAGGAGACAGCATCCAAAATATTTACCTCTTATTATTCATAATTCTGGAACAGTCCAAACATTCCTTCAATCCTACTTGCAGAGCCACAATAGAAAGAAAATAAGTTATTATTATACTTATATTTTACCCTCACAAGAATATGTGGCTGTTGTGTGAAATAGAGCATATTTTAGAATCTTGTCTTCTAAGTGTTGGAGTAATTACAGGTTTCAGCGAACAAGGGAATTTTAAGATAATCCATAGAAAGAATTCCAGGTATCACCACATAACTTGTGGAACTGGGGCCAGGTGCTGAAAGAAGGAAAGAAACGGTATATAATATGGAATGAGGAGTGATAATGATGGCATTGGATGTGCAAGTGCGGCCATGGCAACGACGGCAGAACAATGTTTTACTTTGGCAATGGTAATGACAAATGGTGCGAGTGTGGCAACGACGATAGCAGAAGCGCCAGATTGCTCTGTATTTATACGAGACGGCGGATATCCTAACGTGACCATGGGAACAGAAAATGCAAAGTGTTTATGGGTGATGCAGATTAACAAGGTAGACAACGATGACAAGATGCCCTAAAGTGGCTTTGATGGGTTTGTTATGTGTCTGTCCTTCAAATATCAAGAGCGTGTTTAGTATAGGTCTAGTTGTACATGTCACAATTTGAGCTTCATCAGATATTGTAGACGTCAGTGACCATTTTGTAATTTGACACAAAAAGATTGTTATCGATATTTCTGAAGTAATAATGACGGAATCCTCTGGAAACTGTAGAGATGACCTCAGTATAGATTTTCGTCATGCATATTTTGACCTTCATTTTATTATCTTGTTAAATGGGGTAGCGTGTGGCCACTTAAAAATTTAATCTTAAAGTTTGTTACACATCACAATGAAGTTGTTAGGTTTGAAAATATTTACACTTTGTAAGGACAATTTCTAATACAGCAATATGAACGTTTGAATACGGTATTATATAGATCTTCCGCCATTGACAAGACTTAACACAATATATATTTAGGATTCAAGAAAAGACCAATCATATATAGAACAGATGAGCGCCACAATTTTTTCTGTGATGTCTTGTCAGCTGTACTGGTTAAAGGGCCATGTCATACATTAATGATTGCAGAACGTAGCCGACGTTTAATGAAATGGTCAAATTTCTTTTATACGCTTTAAACGCTTGCTTACTCCGAACTACATAGTCTTTAAATAACAAGAAATTTATTGACCACATCCATCGTATATACACACCAGTCTTGGACAAAGACACGACAGACTCCTTTGCATTAGCTGCTTATCTCAATCTTTTCCTATCACAAAACCAATAAGGGCAGCTTTCCTCAAGCTTGTATGATAAATGTGATGATTTCAACTTCCTGTCGTGAACTTTCCATAGCACTATCCCTGCATTCCCAACCTGCATGTCGTAGTTGATGCGATAATCAAGAGACTGTGCCCAGTAGCACGAATTTCGTGCAAGAAGTCGTCAACCGAGAGAAAAAAACTCGTAAAACAGAGTTTCAAATGATGCAGGTTGATGAAATTATGAGGAAGTTTTAGGTCGCTATAGTGATCTCATTGAGAAATACTTTCTTTGAGTGACATGAAGATGGACGTGTTTGATGCTCGTTAGCTCGCCTGTTGGTACCGTTTTTGTATACCTTATTCTCATTTGAGAACGTAACGTCACTTACTTGGATTGACCAAGGTTTACATGGCGGGTGTCGTCGATGAAGCAGAAGACGCTTACTCCTTGAACGTTTTCGGGAGTCTCCGTGTAAATATTTCTTTTGTTCATATTTTGTCCTAGTTTTATGGAATTTGAGTTTGGATTATGATTATGTTGACGTGTTGGTATTTTCTTGATGTTTTTTGAGCAACCACAGAACTTCCTGATCGTGTCTCTACCCTACAGTTACCGCGTATAGGCAGCGTTAAGGGGTATTGATACATAAAATGGGTTTCACACGGGAAAAGGCTGACTAGAGAATTCCCACTCCCTGTTCTCCAACATCACAAAGACTTCATTTACATTGTACCAGGTCATGCTAATACAGTCAGGAAAATATGAGGACCATGCATCCTTCAGTAATTTCCTGATCGTTGGTGACACGCTGTCGCGCGCAATGCAAGACTTCTACAATCCGGTTTTCATGTTGTAAACGCTTGCAATATGCTTAGTACAGTTAATTCGTTAGTCATACGTCGAAAAAATGTGCGTGCACTTTTTTAACTTATGCAAGTGTACACCATCGTGCTATTAACTACACGATACTTTTTTTAACTAGCTGATGGGAGCGGCTAAAAATAGAAATTTGGCAAGTCCTTTTAATTCCTTCTCCTTTTTATATATGATTGATTTTTGCCCAAATTTGGTCTGAAGCAGACTTGGATGAAGGGGAATCAAATTATGTGTATAAGTCCCATGAGGCGGAAGGGGCGTGGCTCAATAGGGGAAAGGAACAAATTCTTTAAAATTCTTTATAAACTTCTGTAGGAATGATTGAATTTTGCCAAAATTTGATTTAGAGTATTCTTGTTTCATAGGCTGACATATGCTAACTTAATTTCAATATCTGTTTATTAAGATCTTTATATCCTCCACAAATAAGAATAACACATTTAGCATGCAATTTACAGTTAGTTTTACAAATGCAAATTATATTGAATGATATAATGTAATAAAGCGATTATTATTGTTTGAGTATTTCATACAAAAATCTTAAATTTGCTAAATTGAAACATTCTACATCTTCATTAGACATGTCATAGTCATTAGTCAACTAAAGATCTGAGAAATTATACAGGTATGAAGTGAAATTCATGTCCATCGAACTGATTAAATGGCTCCAGATATCATCATGAATCACTGTGTTTTTTCATTATATAGAATGATAAGTGTTAAAGTATCATTGTATAACACACCACAGTAATGACGTTATTTTATACAATTCAACATTTGAGATCTTGTACAATCACTGTTCTTTCTTAATAGATTCTACTACAGAACCCATAACTAGGGCAAGGTCCATAACATAATCCACACCCATGTTACAATTACCCTAATATGGTAATCATGGCAGTCATCTTTGAAATCGTGTATTAGTTACCAAAGACAGGGTTCTTTAGAATGACCTTTTTGGGCCCGTAGATTGTAATAAGAGCGTCTCTACCAAAGGATTTACATTGTCTAAGGAACACTACCTGTCTATTCTAATGAAATATAATACATATGCAGTGTGTCTGCACGATAATATTAAAACAACATTTCAATAATGAAATAATTTCTACATAAAGTGTTCATTGTAAATGAATGCTAACACCACCACAGTTGTAAAGAGTTTTAAGTCAGGTAAGAACAATGTCTGCCCACTCGAGGTATTATTGAAACAGCACGTGGCCTCGCCACAACAAGGTTTGTCAAAGCAGTCTATCGGACAGTTTTCCTTTGTCTCTCCTTTGTCACACTTTCTGTTTCCACAGTTCTTGTATTTACCTTCACATTGTTTAACAAAGCAAAGTGTATATGCCCAGCAAAACCCTGGAATCTCTTTCCACCATTCCCGACATTTCTTATCCACAATGCCTTGGCCTTGACATCCACCACAACTGAACTGTTTACCACGGTTTCGCGCGTCACCGTTTCCTCCTTTAGTATCTCGCCCACAGCTATCACAGTATTTGTTATTTGATGCCGACTGGTATGTGCTGGGACACGTACTGTTCTTGTCACCTATGCAGTTATTACAGCAGCTATACCAATGAAGACGACTCACTCCTCCAAAGTTAAACGACAAACAGTTCCCCACGGTCGGCTGGTCTCCAGTTCTTCGCGGCACGCGGACAGCAGACGACAGCTCCGTCACAACAGATATCACATATACAACTGAAACGATTAATCTTGATGAGATGCTGGATTTGGCTGTGCATGTAACATGGTGCGATGTTAAGGCCATTGTTCAGTCACTGTTTCACCTTTTGCGGTGCCTGTTCCGTCTAGTAGGCAGCTATGTTTTACTTTAAGCCTTAAACAGGCAAAGCTCTGGTGTAACCCCTTCACTTCCAAGAATTTAACAGGTCGCTGCATGTGATGTAGACACGTTTTAACTACAATGACATAATGTACATAAACGCTCTGAATACTTTTCTAGCATAAAACACGACACGAGTCAAAGGATATCGACGCTTAGCTGGGACGCAAATCAAAGACTTTAATATATGATAGTTTGCACGTCATAGCGTTAAACTGTGACTTCCAAACCATAAATTTGCGATTTCAGAAATACAACTAGTCAGCTTTCGTAAATTCGTACCATCTTTGTAACATTCAGAGTGCACGGTCTCCAAATAAACCATGGGAATGTTTGAGTAATTCGACAATTCAATGCGTTGAATTTACTAACATAAAGCAAAGTCACACAATGCAGGTGTATTGTAATTACTGAACTGTAATAGTGTCGGCGCGAAGATAGATAGATAGATAGATAGATAGATAGATAGATAGATAGACAGACAGACAGACAGACAGACATAAAAATATACAATGCTTGTATTAATATGGTTTCAATTTTCAACTCGAAATATATTTGCCGAATACTATGTTGTCCATACCATTAAATTGGTTTCTTACTTATCACAAATAGGATTTTTTTATTTGTTTACATTATTGTATTATACACACAAGCTACAAACGTCAAACTGTAATCGATATTTCCTTAGGATGAGTAAGTCACGTGATTCATTCATAGCTTGTCGTTAAGAAGGGTTCTTAACAAATGACCGATGTGCATTTCCGTGACTTACAAGATACAAGACACTCCAGGGGATGAACGTTATTTAAAAAAAACAGTGAATGTACTTTTAGGTAGAGTGTTGATAATCTGCACGCGAGGCAAATAATCACGTATTATTTACCAACAAAGCTTAGATATAACACTTGACGTTTTATGTCTTATCAATGTTTTTATTCGCGGCAATTGATTTTCGCGATTTTACATCTGCTTTCGTGAAATTCGTTAAACTGAATAACACGAAGAAAGCTGGTTCATGGAATACCAACAATACAGTCTCTGGCAGCCATTTAGAAATGAAAAAACACATGTTCTAAATCAATCGACAAAAATGTGAAAAAAAACACATAATTTCAAACTACTTGTTGAAAAATACTGGATAAAAACATCAGCTTATCTTTGCCGGACTGATATTTGTTACAAAAATCAGCTACAACTACAAGACATTTTTCGAGGACTTTTGGACACCACATTCAAATTAAAGGACACAGAAACTACATGTTTATGATTTTCTCTCCGAGGTCCATAACTACAACTTTGAAGTCTCCAAAGTAATGTGAATTTCCACGAAATCGTCATGATCTAACCAAATATACTGCAAATTTTCAAAGGAATGAATTATTAATATACAGCATAATTAGACAGATGTTGAATTTAATCACGATACATCGCGTAACCACTACAGAACATTTGAGTGTATTTACCTCCTATCACTGCCCCGAGAGATATAGTAATATTGGAACATAAAACACAATAGCTGCAATTTAACAATACATTTTGTATGTTTTCTAAATCACTGTTGCGAGATATAAAGAATGCGTATGTTGGACATGCTAAGTAAACATAAATACGAGTTTCTATTTCTCGTCATTGATTCAGGGGAGAGACTACATTTCGCTGGAGAACAAGGATGGTGCAACGTTCTGGTAATGGCGATATATTAATCCCCGATGTTCGAAAGATATATGAAAGCTGACTTAGTTGTTGACAGAAAACCTTTCGGTAGCAGCGACATATCTTCTATGTATTTCTGATTTTGAAACCGTTAGTTGATTTTTATCTAATTGTCCTTCTTATGTGGAAACAATGCAATCTAAAGGAGCATGCACTACATTAATGGGAATTGCTCAAGAACCGATTTTGTCTTCAGCTGTCAAACAACCTACATGACACCAGGCGAATTTTTGAGACAACCTTTGTTACCCTAATTACCAATTTATTTCTACTCTAAAATTTTAACTGAAAATGTGAGTCAACAATGCCACAGCTATAATGAGTTTCAGGCGAAGCTGAAACAGTTCCTGTCCCCTCGAGGTATCACTGAAACAGCACCCTGGCTCACCACAACAAGGATTGGTTTTTAAGTCACAGCAGTCTATCGGACAGTTTTCCTTTGTCTCTCCTTTGTCACACTTTCTGTTACCACAGTTCTTGTATTTACCTTCACATTGTTTAACAAAGCAAAGGGTATATGCCCAGCAAAACCCTGGAATCGCTTTCCACCATTCCCGACATTTGTTATCCACAATGCCTTGGCCTTGACATCCACCACAACTGAACTGTTCACCATTGTTTCGCCGTTTACCGTTTCCTTTTTCAGTATCTCGACCACATTCGTCGCAATACTTCTCTGCAGATGCAGACTGGTAAGTACTAGGGCACGTACTGTTCTTGCCATCTATGCAGTTATTACAGCAGCTGTACCAATGAAGACGACTCACTCCTCCAAAGTTAAACGACAAACAGTTCCCCACGGTCGGCTGGTCTCCAGTTCTTCGTGGCACGGAATCGGCAGTCGACACTTCCGTCATAAGAAACACCATATATGCAACAGAAATGAGTGATCTCTGCATAACGATGGTCAAGAAAGTGTACCAGTCAAAAATGAATGTTTCAGTCGATATACATGAACGTGTGCCTTGTGTATTAATTAAAGCCCTTTTAAGAGTACGAAAGCTTCCGTCTGGTAAAAGTACATGTCCACTAATTGACGCCTTCCGATCACGTGACATTATTAATCTCTAGCGTAACGTATACGGTGCACATAACGATGACAAGGCTGTTTTTATTTAATATCGAAATACCTAAGGTGATGTGTGAACATGAGAAAGTAAATGTTAAAGAAAAAAACGAAAACAAAAACCAGTCGCAATCACAAGAATGTCAGGGAAACCAGAAACCGTCATAATCAGTTATAGAATGTAGATCAAGAGTGGAGAAACAACACTGGGTCAGGACCTTATCAGGGTCATTTTAGGTAAGTTTCAGCTCAATCCCATTGGAAGTTGAAAATTGCAGTAAGCCATACAACCTCTTGATATGGAAGAACGTAACAATACTCTGACCTAAATCTTTAGACCTGCTGACCATATATACGGAAAAACTGAATGATAAAATGAGACTTTTTATCGAAAACGTCACAAAGTCAATTTTCATTCACAGGGAAAGGTGTTGGTCATATTATTTGCCTAGTATGTATTAACTTTCATACCGATCGGGTGGACACCTGTACATCTTATAATCAAATTACAAATAGTTCCGAGGCGTTATTACGACAGGTACAGCTATGAGCTGATTCTCGAAAAGACGTTTTATCGATTAACAAGAGGCCAATAGGGTCTCTATCGCTTACCTGGTTCATGTTACTTGCTTCATTAAAACTAAAAAAATATTTCTTTACCACCAACAGAGTCATTTCAACATATCATCTCTTCATCACCGACTCCGTCATTCTAACACGTCATCTATTTACCACCAACTCAATCATTCTAACATTATATCTATTTACCACCGACTCCGTCATTTTAACATATCATCTCTTCATCACCGACTCCGTCATTCTACACATCATCTATTTACCACCAACTCAGTCATTCTACACATCATCTACCACCAACTCAGTCATTCTAACACATCATCTACCACCAACTCAGTCATTCTAACACATCATCTATTTACCACCAACTCAGTCATTCTACACATTATCTACCACCAACTCAGTCATTCTAACACATCATCAGTCATTCTAACACATCATCTATTTACCACCAGCTCAGTCATTCTACACATCATCTACCACCAACTCAGTCATTCTAACACATCATCTATTTACCACCAACTCTGTCATTCTACACATCATCTATTTACCACAAACTCAGTCATTCTAACACATCATCTATTTACCACCAGCTCAGTCATTCTACACATCATCTACCACCAACTCAGTCATTCTAACACATCATCTATTTACCACCAACTCTGTCATTCTACACATCATCTATTTACCACAAACTCAGTCATTCTACACATCATCTACCACAAACTCAGTCATTCTAACACATCATCTTTTTACCACAAACTCAGTCATTCTAACACATCATCTACCACCAACTCAGTCATTCTAACACATCATCTATTTACCACCAGCTCAGTCATTCTACACATCATCTACCACCAACTCAGTCATTCTAACACATCATCTATTTACCACAAACTCAGTCATTCTAACACATCATCTATTTACCACCAACTCAGTCATTCTACACAGCATCTACCACCAACTCAGTCATTCTACACATCATCTCACCAACTCATCATTCTAACACATCATCTATTTACCACAAACTCAGTCATTCTACACATCATCTACCACCAACTCAGTCATTCTAACACATCATCTACCAACAACACAGTCATTCTAACACATCATCTATTTACCACAAACTCAGTCATTCTACACATCATCTACCACCAACTCAGTCATTCTAACACATCATCTATTTACCACAAACTCAGTCATTATAACATATCATCTCCTCATCACCGACTCCATCATTCTAACACATCATCTATTTACCACAAACTCAGTCATTCTACACATCATCTATTTACCACCAACTCAGTCATTCTAACACATCATCTATTTACCACCAACTCAGTCATTCTACACATTATCTACCACCAACTCAGTCATTCTAACACATCATCTATTTACCACCAGCTCAGTCATTCTACACATCATCTACCACCAACTCAGTCATTCTAACACATCATCTATTTACCACCAGCTCAGTCATTCTACACATCATCTACCACCAACTCAGTCATTCTAACACATCATCTATTTACCACCAACTCTGTCATTCTACACATCATCTATTTACCACAAACTCAGTCATTCTAACACATCATCTATTTACCACCAGCTCAGTCATTCTACACATCATCTACCACCAACTCAGTCATTCTAACACATCATCTATTTACCACCAACTCTGTCATTCTACACATCATCTATTTACCACAAACTCAGTCATTCTACACATCATCTACCACAAACTCAGTCATTCTAACACATCATCTTTTTACCACAAACTCAGTCATTCTAACACATCATCTACCACCAACTCGGTCATTCTAACACATCATCTATTTACCACCAACTCAGTCATTCTACACATCATCTACCACCAACTCAGTCATTCTAACACAT